AATTCAAGCCCATATTTTGATATTAGTAATGTTTTATTCATGTTGTGGTGCCTGTTTTGTGACACTGTTGCAAGCATTAGGTATGCAGATCAGAGGAACAGCTCTCATGCTTACAGAGATTAACAGGATTGCAGTGCGAGGTTATAAAAGGCCTTTCTTTGTGTGTGGTGTACATTTTCTGAGTAGTGACCTGCTTGCAAAAATCACATTATAGAGATTCAGAGCTTTGCACACAGAATACAGATGCAGTCTGTACCCTGGGAGCATAAATTGTTGCTGAAAGAGCAGAGATCATTACATCTAACTAATACAGTGGTGTTTTAATTGCAGGGCTTTTGGATTTGGCTACTTCGTACTGTGAAAACAGACTGAAAAAACTGTGTCAGCACATCATCAAGAGAGGAATTACTGTGGAAAATGCATTTTCATTGCTCTCTGCTGCTGTGAGATATGATGCAGAGGTAAACTTCTAAAGTCCAGTTTCTTAAATAGGTGGCTGGTTTCTGACTTAAACTATGGAGAAAGGCAGCCAGTTACATTTTCATATAAGCTCTCTCACTCGCTGTCAGATAATGCTATTTGCCACTTTCAGAATTTGAGAATGTTGGACTTCTGAAAACTGTATTTGCCATGAGAGATGTATCTTAATTTTTCCCCGTAAACCAGTTCTGAGAAGATGAGCTAGTACACAGATATTTCTGAGGATAAAAACACTAACTCTGAAACAAGGGAAGGGTTTAAATACGAAGGAAAACACTATGAAAAGCAGACTTGTAAGCCTTCAAGTTACTTATTTGTAAGGCTGTGTGTTGTGTGTGATGACACATGATGGTAGGTTGGGGATTGGGTGCATTTGGCTTTTTTTTTTGGTTGGTGGGATGTTTTTTTTCTTGGCTTTTTTGTTTTGTTTAGCTACAGTCAAATACAGTTCCAGTTTTCTCTGTCTGCTAATGACATGTCAAACTAAGAACTGCTTCATGGGCCTTACAAATGTTGAAGAGGGAGGAACAGTGTGTGAAAAGGGGGGAAGGCTGGTGAAACTTCCCTACTGCGCGATGTCTGACTTCACTACTAGACCACTAACGTGCAGCTTTGAAAACTAATTGGGGAAGCATGCCAGGGCTTGCTTTGGCTATTTGTGTTCAGTGTAGTATCTGTGCATTGTGTTGGCAACTTTAAAAACCAACCATTGGTTGTTTTTTAACTGGCTACATATGCTTATAAAGCAGTTTTTTGGTACTCAGTAAATCAACTCATTGCTTTTTCTTGTATTCAATATCAAGCAGATGGCATGCGGGTTGCCCTAACTTATTTCAGAGTCTTGCAGTGTGTTGCTTGTTTGATATATCTTACCCAAAGGGCTGTGTTAGTGTCTGTTGTGCCTTGAGCTCTACTGTGAATAATGATGTCTTTGGTGGGAGTTCATCAAAAGTAGAAGATTTGCATACTTTAGCCTCAAGATTGTTTGCAGGACAGATCTTCAGTTTGTGATTGATTCTGCTTGTAAAGGATATAAGAAATCCAGTTACTATGCTTTGTCTGTACCTCACTAGGTAAATGAAATTAAAAATCAAGTGAAAAGTATGGACCTAAATACTGCTTCCAGGAGAGAATGGGTGACCCTGAGGGGTTGGGCTTTTATAAAAAAGCTGGTTTTACATGCTGTAATGTTAGCTGGGGACTTGAAATTGCTTGAGCGATGTAGTTCATTCAAGGGAGTGTGGGCCTGGAAGACAACAGTTAAAAGAAGCTGCTTCACTGATTTTAAAATACCTCCATGACGTGAAACTCTCCTACAGTTTCTTTTGGTGACTGACTGAAGTGACTATCATTAGGTCAGGGCTGGCTTTTAAAATAATCCTTAGCTGTGCCTTTATTCACCTAAGTCTATATTAAGTACAGTTTGCTGGGAGTGCATTCATCTGCAAATGAATTTCAGCCTTTTTTTTAATACAGAACTTTAAATTTTCCAGAGTTACTTACTAATACTACAATAATTCTGTTTATTGTATGCTTCTGTTGCATTGACTTGGAATATGAATTTTTTTAATAAAGCAGTGCAAAATATTCTAATGTGTATGATGTAATTTTCTTTAAAATGCTAGTTAATTCTGTTATTTAAAAAAAAATACAAAACATCAGTGTTCAGTTCTAATAAGCTTGTCTTTTTTTGTTGCACAGATGCCACACAAGTCAAGATCTGCAGCTTCAGAATGCCTGGTTTTAGGCCAGGATATATTTTTATATTATTGTTGTGTCAAGAACTCCCACTAGCACACACAGTTGCTGTAGCTTTCAGTATTGACCTTAAGTGAAAACATGATTAGTCTTTCATACCTCATGTGGCTTAAAGAGCTCTGCAAATTTGTTATGCCTTCCTGCAGTGCCCAGTCTGCTGAGCAGCTGAGGAAGGGTGTGTTCTCACATACAGAGTACTGGTCCTACAAATGTTTAATAAAGAAATGGGAACAGTGTGGGGAATTGCCCTTTTGTAAGGGCTGCAATGTCCTCCTTATAAACAGCTTAGATCTGCATCACAGAGTAGATTCCTTCTCAAAAGAGGACTTGGAAATATTCAGCCTGAGTGGGAAGTGTCCTGTGGTCAACCTTATATTGACAGTGACTTGTGTTAAGACATCCTTTTGGTCTGACACACATGGGTGCACTTACGGTTGTGAGGCTTTTTGCCATGTAACTTCAAGGCTCTAGTTAAGCCCTTAGCTAAGCGGGAGGTCAAGCAACCCTACAGAAACATTTGAGTTTATATTATGAAATGAAAGAGTTGAATTTTTTCTTCATCCACAGTCTTCATTATATATCATTACCCTGAGATCTTCTATTTGTGTTGGAGTTTAATAGCTGTTACTGAATGCAGATGAAAATCTTCAAGTGGGAGAACTTAAAATATATATTGCTCAAAACAGCTGATTTTTTTTTTTTTGACTGCACTATATAGTAAGAACCAGATTTTGGTTACTTCCCCTTCTAACTGCATTTACATAGTGACATGGATGGGTGGAATTATTATTTTCTGTTGCATTTATGTAGTGACTGTTTGGGGAGCAAACCATTGAGAGCCACTGGGTTAATGCTTGTCCAGTTCTCTGCAAAAATAAAGCATATATGGGCACTTGTGACTGAGTGAAATTTTCTGTGATGAAAACAAAGAGAATAACACTTTTTTTTTTTTTTTTTTTTCCCCCCTGTTTAGGACCTAGAGGAATTCTGCTTTAAGTTTTGTGTCAATCATTTGACAGAAGTGACACAAACTACAGCATTTTGGCAAATGGATGGTCCGCTGCTAAAGGAATTCATTGCTAAAGCCAGTAAATGTGGAGCATTTAAGAACTGACATGAGGCTGTAAGTTATGGTGCTGGTAGGGAGGTTTTTTGCAGTTACAGGAGGATGCCATAACTGTCCAGGTACAGCAAGTGTTACGTGGTCTCTTGCACCAGAAGACGTGAAAGGCCACTGTGAAAACAAATATTTTCAGTGCTCCAGAGTGAACTGATGTAAAAATGTCAAGCAAAACATTCACCTTCATTTAACCAAGTTGGATGGTGGAACCAGCTCAAGATTTGAGACAGGAAATGCTGTGGTATGCAAAGGATACTGGCCGGTGTTACAGACTTACCTTTCTAGCCTAGGAAATCTCAGTTCTAGCACTGCCTGCTCCTGTGTTCAGTTTACGTTTTGGGGTCGGAGCCACTGAATGATGTCACTTAAATCTTTAACTCCCTGGGATTATAGAGAAGCAAATGGCATGGTTATTTCTTACTGCATTTGCATGATGTTGAATGAATTGACCATTTGCTGTGTGTAATTAACCAAGTGTATCCAGTGCTTAAAGTGTGCAAAAATAATGTATCCTCAAAGCCTAGGCAAGTGACTTTGAGGAAAGGAGTTACTAGCAAAACTAATTGGGAGTAAATCTCTATATTTGGGTATATTTTAATATAAGTTGTAATATGTACTTTGTGTAATCTGTTCAAGCAATATTTATAATGCTTAATGGAAATAATTCCCTCTTGAGTGACTTCAGATTACATTGGTTCCCTCAGAGGGGAAGGGATATACTGTACTGAAAGTTGGGTGGGGTTTTGCTTTTAAATACTGTCTAAATTTAAACTACATGTAATAAAATTTAATTTTTTTTGTACCTGTTCACTAGCAAACTAATTTAGACTTTGAAGAATGTTGCAAGCTTTTTGTGTTACATACTGTATAAATTGCTTTATTTAAAAAAAAAAAAAACGTAAACCCAAGAAAACAACAAAGGAAAACTCCCCAACAAAAACCATAGCCAAACTAACCCTTCATGCTATGTTACTGAATCTTGCTGATTTCACTGTACTTGACAATACCTGTGATTTTGATTTCAGAATTGAGCAAATTTGTTTGTAGGCTCTAATTTAGACCTCAGTGATTGCAATCTATGGATCTGATTTTTTTCATTAAGTCATCCATATGTGACTGTAACCCTACAGCAGGTATGTATGGACATACACACCTACTATTCTCATCGTGTATTTTTAATAACAGAGCTCCAAGTTAATGCACTTTTGTTTTAGGGGGGCGTTTTCTAGGCAGAATTGCTCCGAGTGGCACTTGAGTCCTGGGCTTGGGCAGTAAGCTGGTGGTGTTTCTAGGCCCAGACAGGCAGCAGGCCTGAATTGTTTAAGCAATTAAAATTACTAGTATTTTGTTCTATGGGGCACAGCTAATAGTTCAAGAGCTGTTTTGAACGTTGTTCTGTGCTTATTGATACCCACTGTCCTACAGAACAAGCTCCCGTCAGGAATTCTGAATGGTCAGGGGCAGAGTACAGCTGTTGTAACAGGATGTTACACTTCTCATGAAACCATGAGGGCAGTGGAACACTGGTGCTGCTCTGCTTCCTACTGAGGCATGGGGTGTTTACAGCAGGGCCTGACACTGTTCCTCTCCTTGGTCACGTCCTATGCAGCGGGGGGGGGGGCAGTGAGCACGACTCCATACATAGCTTTTTTTAAAAATGTTTTATTTTGTGAACTTCACCTTTTGTAGCTAAACAATGCTTTTCTGTATTCAAACAACTTTTTAAAGGCAAAACACAGGGAAGTTGGATCCTTTCGTAATGGAGAAAGGAAGACAGAGACCACTGTTTGATCCCTTTGACATTGTACATATTCTGAGGATAATGCCCAACTGTTTTTGGTCTGCCTGTAAACACTGTATTGCCACTGCCATTACAGCAGAACTAGTTACACACTGACCAGTCAAACAAGAATAACTTGGGTTTTTTAATTCAAGTCCTGTTCAACATTCAAAAGGCTTCCTTAAGTGCAAGTTCTGCTCATTTATCTTCTTTGGAAAGCCAAAGCACCAATATGATCCTGAAAACATCACTGTCTAGACACAGACAGTGCAGCAGCTATGGCACAGTCAGGAGAGGGCTCCACAGTTAAAGTGACTTTAACAAGTGTTCTGTTGCATCTGATGTTCCCTTGTCTTGGAGCAAAAAGTCTTCACTGGAGGGTTTAAAAAAGCTAAATTTAGCGTATAACACTGAAGTACTACACAGTAAGGTTTGAAGACAAAGATTTGAAAATTTTAAGAACTTAAAATTATTGCACCATTGAGGTATAAAAATGAGTATGTGACCCAGTTCTTGTTTATGTCCCTGTCTTGGGAGCGGGAACTTAACTTAGACATGAACCAGATGTGCTCTAGGGTTTCTATCATTAGAAAATCCTAAATATTGACATGATTACAGACAGGCTTAAGCATTATTCAGACATCATACTAGATGTACTGGCTGTGCTCTCTGGGGTAGGAAGGACTTCTTTTAAGTCCTGCAGTAGCTCTATCTTGTGATCCAGTCTTTTTCTGTTTTCTAGAAGTTCTTGTATTTTTTCTTCTGTTCCTATTACAAAAAAGAAAAGGATGAAAAAGCCTTTATTCATACATAACTATTTATTTAATTTAAAATACATGTTACATATGCATAAACACTGCAGAGGCTACAAATGCTTAGTTTAAACTACACTCCTCTGCCTTTCTTCAGCAACATCTTTAACCCACCACTCTTCATGAAAAGCTGGACCATTTGTTGGAAGAAAGAGCCCAACTGATACATCAAAGAAAGCACAAAGTAGTGTTCCCATACTTTGTCATCCACCTAACAAAATCCATAATGTAGCTGGTTTTGAGATTAAATTTAAACCATCACATCATATGTAAAAATTATTAGTTTAGTTACTAACCCAGTGCCAACTGGCATATGAACTTTAAAAATTCCCTTTTCAGATTTCATTTCATTTCTATGGGAAAAAGATGCATTTTAAATCTTTAAAGATAACATCTCTGAATTACAGTCTTAACGTAAATTTACTAGCAGATTTTAGCATACGAGACAATTAAACCTAAAAAGAGATGATTTGGACAACTGCATTCAACAGCTCTATGCTCAAAACTACAACTTGAGCATTTAATTCTGGTTCTGGCAGAATTGTTATTGACAGTACCCTGATGGGATTAACCAAGGTGTTTACCTTATTTGCAAAGCTCTGCCTGACTGCATTTCTGCTTCTCTCTGTTGCTTCCATTTTCCTAATGTTAAAGATTATTGAAGTCAGTGAGATCTTGGTAACAGGCCTTGCCAGTATTCAGCAGCATTACCAAACCTTACAGTGTTAATTGCAAGTTTTAAATGAAGCACCTGCTTTGTTCAGTTAACGAGACACACAGAGGTGTTGGTGACCTCTGAGCAGCAAGGTTGGTCTGTGAACAACAAATGAGATTCTCTCAGTGTGTGAGAATGTCAGAGTTCACATTCTGGTAAGAAGGAAAAGACATTTTATACAAACTGAAAATATTTTTTCTCTTTTGGGGGAAAGAGGATGTCTCCAAAGGGGTAGAGTGGGGAAATTATCTCCAGATGTTTATCTCATGACATTTGGAATTATAGAACCTTAACTGATTAAAAAAAAAGAAAAAAGCAAAGCACCTTTGGCCTTCCACCTCCCTGCTGCTTCTTCCTCTGCAGTAGAAAGCCCATAACTGCTGCTGTCTGTGCATGTACATGGAAGATTATGTACGTGCATGTTTTTAAGTACATTACCCAGAGCTGGGTGTGGGTGTTGGAAACAGGCTCCAGAATGATGGTGGTGCCTGCTGCCCATGGAAAATTCTGGGTAGCAGATCAATGGTGCCCCACGCTTGCTCTGACTGAAGAGAAGCAGATGGCTCCTTCTCTCTGCAGTCAGGTGACATCAGTATTTGACAGCACTTCCCCCTGCTGCCCCCCAAAACCTGTGCCTGCCCCTTCACAGTGTTTAACAGCTCAACAGCAGAAAAATCCACAATGGAAACAGTCCCCTTCACTGCAGGGGCGGGGGGCAGGCAGCTTTCATGGCACTTCCATGTGGTACCAAGCCCATGCGGTCACAAGAACTAGCAGGCACATACTTGAAGAAAAAGTTGGACATATACAAGTGAAAGCCGGGAAAAAAAAAACCCTCCTAGAGACTATTTGGATATGAATTAAAGAATTATGAGAAGTAAACAAAACAGCTTGGTTAGAGCATGGTGCTAAGTAATGCCAAAGTTGCAGGTTCAATCCCCATAGGGGCTGTTCACTTAAGAGTTGGACTCAGTGATCCTCGTGGGTCCCTTCCAACTAAGAATGTTCTGTGAGGATGTATTCAGCATTTGGGTGATCTACAGATGGAAGACCTACAGCTCAGACATACAGCTCAGTTTCTCTTCTGCCAAAAGGATATGGCAGAAATAGAAATAGCCCAGAGAAGGATGTCAGGGATGGGAATGACTGGCCTATGGCAGTGCTTCCACAGGGAGGCAGAAACAGATTAGGAGCCTTCTACCTCATAGAGGAAATGACCTAAAGGGAAAGAACATGTATTTCTTTAAAATCAGGAATGGCCTGAGGGACATGGGCCTGGAAGGACTACCCTTGCTCTTCTGTAAGACAAGTGCTGTGGATTCTCAGTGGAGGAACTGCATAACAGTTTTAAAATTAAGGATCATGGCCTTTGTCTGTGCAACTGAATTGCAGAATTTGCTGCTACACCCCCCCTAAAAACAAATGCTACCAAGGAGCTCAAAAGCTACTGGACAGACAGCTGACCAGCAAAGAGGAAATGGAAGCTGATGGAGAGGTATCTTCCCAAGCAGGATGCACAACAGAACTGAAAGCAAAACTAAAGGAAGTCACTTTTCCTTGGAGAAGAGGACAAGGACCTCCAACCTAGAAATTTGAAACTGCTTCTGAGGTGATAGCACGTCCCGTATGGAAAGTTTTACAAGCAGACAAGTTTGCAGTAAAGCTGCATGCTGCAAGAGAACTGTGTATCCTTGCATATAAAAGGGATTTAAAATAGCAGTATCAACAGTTACAGTTCAGAGGAACCTTGCTGTGCTGACACGTAAGGCTTTAGAACAGGGTTTGCATGATAATGCAACAAATGAAAAAAATAAAGTGCAAAAACGGATTGAAGGTAAGGCATGTCAGATGACCCAAAATCATCAGCTCCAGGAAAATATCAAAGACGACACAGTATTTATACTAGTCTTACTTTATTTCTTCCTTGACTTAGTACATCACCACAGAGACTCCCTATCGAGCTTGTAAGGCAGGTGACAACAACAGAAAACCCAAACCAAACAAAAAAAAACCCTGGTGATATTCTTCCCTCCCTACAGTCTCACTTTCATTCCTTTCTCACTGGTTCATTTTAAGAGCTCCTCTTCAATCAGTTTTGGAACCAGCCTTGATGTGTGTTTTCGTTACTGACCTTGAAATTAAAAGGAGGACAGTGGCATCAGAAAAGAAGATTGTGTGGTACAGGAAGAACTGAGCTGCCCGAATCATGGGGAACTGGGAGAGGGGACAACTTGTACCCACAAGAATCACGTGACTGTGTGCACGTAGGTGCCAATATCAAGAAATTTTTCTGCAAGCTGAGAAGAAAGTGAAATAATTGATGCAGCTGTGAAAGAAACAAGTACAATCCAAGGTTGTGTCCCATGAGGAATTCCGATCCGAGATGTTTTAATGCCCTCAGACATTCTGTCTGACACTGGCAGAACCTTGTGTCAGACAACTGCAACAACCAGACACTCCTACTGCTGAAAAGGGGATTTAAGTGCAAGAACAGAAGACTAAAGGGAGGAGCCTGGCTTTTTCAGTCAAGTGAAGGGAAAACAGCAAACATTGCCTTCACACACTGAACCTCAGTGTTAGCTAATTAAAGCCCCTTTCACTGTAATAAATTAAAGCAAAAGTCAGAACAAGGCTGCTAACTCAGAGAGAGCAAGAGTTAATTGGAGCAAGAGACTCACCTGTCTGAAAAAGTTTTAGCCTTGTTGCTTAAATCAGCCCTAGAGTTTCCTTCCACACTGGTCATCCCAAGCAACCACTCCTGCCCTTGTTTCCATTTCACTCTGAGCATTGTCATCTTGTTTTTCAAAGCATGTTAGAATGGCCAGCAGGCCCAGGGTAAATTCTGCTAGTGCTTGGCTGCTGTGTTTCAGTTAAAGGTATTAGTCTGAACACCTGTCAGGCAGCAGCAGAGCTATAACACAGGCAAGCTACTGAAGAGAGGCTGCAGAGAAGGAACCAAAATAACCTGCAGGAGAGGGGAGTTCCCCTGGGGCAGAGACCCTTTGGTCTTTTAAAGCTGTGGAACTGAGTTGCCTGCCCCCTTCAGCAAAATTGGCATACTGTACTTCTAAAGATTCAGGTAGCAGGCTTTTATTCAAGAGTTTACATAATATTGAAAAAAAAAAGTTCCTTGGAATTTTCATTTTAAATTATCATTTTATCAAAATTCTCAGAAGAATAGCTTCAATGCCAAAATCCAGACCAACTGCTACTGTTCTAACAGCTTTTCTGCACGTACCTGAATGAATATTTGTCAGTATATTTTCAAACAGTCCACAGTCAAACAGTGCCATTACTGTCTCTTCATATTCTGGGGAAAGAGATAATTTAATATTACCGAGTAAAGGTTTACAGAGCCCTACATTAGAAGTAACACAAAACAGTAGTTAGTTATTTTCCATCATACTGATTGCTTGAGGTTTTAAGACGTCTTCCTTCTCATACAACCTATATTGAGAAAGAAGGATCAAGTTGTCAATTCTACTTTCTTTTTAGTTCTCTACAGAAAATAATTCCCTTTTTGGGTCTGCACCATCACATGAACAGTCCATTTAAAAAAGAGCAATATACTTAAGTCATATTCCATTCCATTGTGTCAGGACTGTGTGATGGCAAGGCTGACCGTACCAGTTTCCCCTGACTGATCATGGGACATGTGGGACAGAGCTATTCCTGTTCAGTGTTAAAAACCATCCAAAGATTATGCCTCAGTTTCATACCTGAAGCTTCTGTTGAAGCAAAATACAAAATGCTCACAGAGTTCAACTGACCATTAAGAGGTTTCCTTCGTGTGCAGACTCTGAATCTCTAATGTGTCCTGGACTTCATTGCTGCTTCCAACAGCTGCCTGTCATGTCACACACAAGCTGCTTGTGAAGGAAGACATATCTAGGTGGGAAATTTCACTTTCCATGCATGTGCTTCAGTTACTTTGCATAAAATAGCATTCTTTATGCAAAGGTATTACTCATAACTTTGTAAAACTGAGAGGACAATAGGAGAGGAAGGTTTGAAATTTTATTTAACGGTGTTGTGGACAAAGCAACATTAAACTGGAATTCCCCAAGAACAATGTACTTCATAGAAGCTGATAAACGGATGAAAACCCCAGATAGGCACTAAGAGCTGACAGTTAGTTGTAACAAATCAGTCAAAGACTTAAAATATACATACTCAGAGATTTTTCACTCAGAAGAGAGTGCTGATATTAACAGACAGCTGGTCCCTCTGTGAAGCTGTAAGAGCAACACAGACTTACAATCCAAATAAAACCTTCCAGTTCTCTTCAGGACCTCTCTCTTTTTCAGTGCCTGGGAGAAGAGGCCACTCTGATCCTTCCTATGTTTATGCCAGTGGGTAAAAGGTGGCTTCAAAAATTCAAGTCAGAAGGTCTCACTAGAGCATGCTCAGTTGACAGCTCTTATATAATGTTGAGAAAAGTTCCTTGGAATTTTAATTTTAAACATTTAAAAGGGAAGGTCATTCTCAACCCACTGCACAGCTGCAGAAATAAGACAGGATTATATTTAGCACTACAGTATCCCCAGGAAGGTGGCCCAGGGCCAAGTACCTGGCATTCAGATCCGCATTTCTGCTTTGAGAGCAGAGTCCCCCATGGGTCTCCATACCTGTTTCTGAAGTGTTGTCATCCATTAGTTTTTCCTGTGCCAGGTGAAGTGTGTCCAGCATTTCTTCAAATATGTCATCTAGAAGCCCAGCCTGTTTGCATTTCCTTACAAGGTCTATCTGGACTGTTAAAACACAAAAACACACTCATACAAGTGATCTGTAAAGTGGGCTTTACTCCCTGTCTTCAGAAACTAAAACTAAAGCTTTTTGGTGAAAAACCTCCCTCTGGTAGCAAATATTTTTGCAAATCTCTGGCTCCTCCAGCTACCCATGCAGCCCTTTTCAATGGGAACAAAAAAGCAGTCTGGCAAATGTAAGCACTATGCTGGGTGTAAAATTCCCTAAGCTCTAGGTTTAGCTTCATTCATCAAAAGCAAATATCTCAGTAACTCTAAATGTACCATTCCTAAAGACTCCTGGAACTCTCCAGTACAGGAAAGCAAGTGATTTGTCTTGCTTGTCCTTCTCCCAATTCTTAGGACCACACCAGAAAACAGTGCAAGAAGTGAATCAGTATCGGATTTAGTAATAATTAAGGCTACTTTTACTCCAAATGATCCAGGCATTAAACTTGTTTATTACAGCCCATTTTATAGACCTACTTTGTCAGATTTGGACTGCTAGAGAAATAACTGTCTATTTTTAATTCATCTGGGAGCAGCAGGTCAGCAACAAGTCTCAGTAATGAGCAATGGGCTGTTCAAAAGGAAAGAGCTATCGGACAGTTCACAGAAGTCTGCCAGTCTCCATTAAAAACACTATGTTTTACTGGAGACATTTGTGAGAAAAGAAACGTCGTCTCACTTACATGTGATGCCCTACAAGTATTTCAGGATTCTTTATAGATTCCCTGTTCTTTACAGTGATAGTAGAAATTCAGAAAAAAGCACTAGGCAGCCACCTGAAATACCATGCCCATACACTAAGCATATCCACAGGGAGGTGAATAATCACCACTAGCACCTTCCAAACTTCCAGGTGACAGCAGAATCCCGACAAGCAATTGCAGCAGGAGCTTCAGGGTAACATGAAAAGCGCAGCACTGAAGGACGGGTCCTGTGGTCCATTTCACTGTTGCAATATCCTATTTATGCAGTAAAATGCTATATTGTGTTAAGCACCCTATGTACACCCAGGCTTCAAAAGGTAAGATATGCTGCCCCCACATCTCACGGCACCTCCTCAGCTAACCCTCTCCAGAGCACCACCATGCTGAACTCACCTCTCTCCTTCAGGAGGGGCTCAGGACAAGGAGACTAAAGTGAAAGAGGACAGGTTCCCTTTTAAATTTAGCTGCACTCATACAGAGGAGGGAGGTCAGGCAGAGGCACCCCCATTTGCAGGAGACATAGAGCTGAACACAGCAGCCAGAACAGGGGCATTCTCAGGTGAATCACCAGCTCACATCACACGGCAAGTCTCACTCAGCCAAACCACAGACATTTGTTTGCTCCACAGTCATTCTGCAAATCAAACTTCCGCTGCCATGCCAGAGCTTGGACAGTCACTCAGGAGAACAATAAAGGTACATTTGCAGCATCACTGCTACCAGCTATCTCCAAGCTCTGGACTTCAACATAATAGATCATAATACCTCCTAGTTGCTCTATAAAGTCAGTCTCACCTTTATGCCTGTTGTTTTTTCTTTTTAGTGTTTGGAAATGGTTTTCTTCTGCTTTCTCTTCTGTTTTCTGTAAGATAATCAAAACAATATATTTTTACATCATACTAACATTTACTGCTGTTTTCATTACCAGAAAGATAGAAAGCAGCCTGCATTTCTGTGAATACAGTCAGCTTTTCTGCACAGCTAGCGATATTCCTCTTCAGACATTCAATTTTTAAAATGGAAGCAAAAAGCAAAAACACTAAGAAAAGCCCAACACTTGGGACACCACCCTCCTTAATCACTTCATTTGCAAATAGCAGAAAAGTTAACAAATGTCTATTGCTAACTCCCAGGGCAGATGATGTTTAGCTCCCTAAACCTGATGTAATGCTGGGAACGATTTGGAAAAGGGGAATGTTTTCCTTTGGATAGGATGCAGTCATTCTCTCCTGTTTCACGTCATACCACAGGACTGTGAACAATTCTTCAGTTCTGTCCCAAAACTCCACCAGTGTAAACGTGCATTGCTTACACAGTGGTAAACAATTTATCCCACAGTGATAAATCCTGGAACCCCTCACCTTTTTATTTGCAGTGTTTGTATTGATTTCCAAGATCACTAGCATGGGAGAAGACCAGAAACAGAGCAATACTGTGAGTAACTGGTCAAACAAATCTCAGTTATAATACCAGCTGAGAAATTCTTAGAGAAAAATAACCAACCCTTCTGACAGTACTACATAAATGCTGAAAAGATCATCCACATCCCCTCATATGAACTCCCTTTAATCTCAAGACTTGGGAAAGGCAGACTATTTTCCCCAGGGAAAGCTGGACACCAATTCCTCTAGAAAGAGAAAATCCCAACCCCTCCAAATGTCAAAGAGAATTCCCACGCACACTTTTGTAGAGCCAAGAGAATCACCTCAAAACTTAAAAGAAGCTCTATTTACAGGTTTTCTAACAACAGCCTGTAAAACAATTCCCCCTGCAACCAGAGGGATGTTTGCTTGATAGCTTCAAACCCTTGGGAAGGCCATCTGCAGAGTCCAGAACTGCCTGATCTGCAATGAAAGTCTGCCAGGCTTACCATGAGCACAGTGTGCTCACACAAACAAGTGCAGGTTTAAAAGACTGACTGACTCATCAAAAGCAGTTTTTCGTGGAAGCCGTGTCAAGCCCTAAGCAAACCCGAGGGGCATTGTACTTCCAAAGAAATGGAGCCCCCAAAGGGAAGCTCTTTCTGCCCATGCCAGGATCACAGCCACCAAGTCAGCCTGGTTTGGAGGGTCCTACTGCATTTGTTGTGTAATTGCCACATTACACGAGGGCAATGCCAGCTCTGCCTGAAGCGGCTTCAAATGCAAACAGTATTGGTTTGACGGAATGGCAAGATCCAAACAAGGCAGCTGTAAAGGACAAGCAAACTGTTTCTGTGAGGAAGTCTTTCTCTGAACAGTCAAAATACTTCACTAAATAAGTCCTTTGCTGTAGCAGATGTGGGTTCCTGTTTTAGACTGCTGAAATTCAGAATTACCATTTCTTCTGTGATGGCAGGAGATGTCAATGTATATCTTCTCTTCTTATTAGCTGCACCTAGGAATCAATAGCAACAAAGAAACAAGTGCAACAACCTCAGACTGATGACTACACATCATTCAAACTCTTTTTATTCCAAAAAGCTACTCAAGTGAGGCACTTTGGGTGGCAAGGCAAGAGTATGTTTCAGCTTCCCCAAATACCTGACATTTCAGTGGAATGCATGTTATTTCCATCCAAGAAAAATTACAACCCTGAACCATTAGGGAAATGTGCAAATCACTGTAGCATTAGAATATCACTTTACCTTTTAAACTCAGCAGATTTTTGATTGTTGCAGAGTGAACTTATTTTCCCTGGCAGCAGCACTACCTCTAGTGGTAAAAACTTCCGGCAAATTTAAAAAGATGACTTCTTTTTTTTTAGACAATTCTTGTTTATGTTAATACACCCTCAAAATTAAGACTGCATAAAGAATTATTTTAGGTGTCCCAAAGATATGCAAATGGCATTAGGTTTTTCATTGATTTAATGACCATCCTAGAAAACCTCCAGAAGCAGTCTGACTTGTCAGTTGAATATTATTTATGCTACAAAGTGTTTTTAGTGATGTGGTATTAGATCTCTGCAAAATCATCTGCTTTCACTGTGTCCTTTCCATTAGCATGCACCAGCCTCTTGCCAACAGCCTATCTGGCAGCTTTTGGAAACAGCTACAGTATCAGAGAAGGATAACTCTGGCAAGTGGCAAGGAAGAAATGGCAGGAGCAGAGAAATCCTGAGAAGAGTTCAACCACCCAACAAAACCTGAGAGTTTTAAGTGCAGTGGGGTTATATGCTGCCTTCTGTATTTAAGTCCAGAACCTCTGGACAGCACTTTAGTAAGGTCTTTCCTGTTAGAAGTCATCCTGTCAAAAGGAATGAGGAGTCATTGTATGAGGAGGCTGTTGAAACAAGTTTGGGCTTTGGGTACTGATGCCGTACATTTGCATTTTTCACAGCATGAAAGGAAATCATAGTCTCTGACTTGATCCAAAATAAAGTTGCATGGCCTAATTTGTGTCCAGGAGACATGGGTGTAGATACAAAGTGTTCCTTGCATGACATCTTTGACATGTGATGGGATTTTCTAAACTCTCCCTGATATTTGCCATGAGGACACCTTATACAACAAGAAGAACACAGCCCAAAGAGTAGCCCAACCTCTCCCGCCCTGCACAGCACCTGCTGCTCTCTGTCAGCCTTTACTCTCCACATCTAACATTTCCAGTTAAACAGACGTTGGAGCCTGTTTCCAAGCCCAAACTGCCCTCCCATGTGGAGCTGTCCTCTCCCTGTGTAGAGCTGCAAGGAGAGTTCTTGGCCCCTAAGGCATCTTATCTGCTTAATTAAACAGCAGAGCCCCAACAATTCAGCACAAGAACATTGTCTCAACAAAGAACAAGGGGATGTTCCTTGACCCTATTTTCTTGAAACTACTGGGGAAAACAGGCCTGGAGAGGCAGCTTGTGCTCCCACACAGCCCAGTGCTGGCTCTGCTTGCCCCAGAGGAACAGCTGAGTTACTTCATCCAAGTTGGATCCTGAAAGTCAGAACTACCATGCAGCCAGAGCACTTCCACCCCAGCCTGTCTCCCTCACTGCCCTATGCAGACCTGCAAACACCTCATCACAGGCATCCCCTGCCTGCTCAGATGGCCCAGACAGAGCACCTGCTACTTCAGCTGATTCACCAGCTGATTCCCCCAGCTATTCCAAGTGCCACGTGTGCATCTGAGAGCTGCTTACAAGCAAGAGACCTTTGGCTTGGGGAACAGCTACTCTATCAGACAGGTGGGAGAAGGTGATTTAGGAGGTAGGGCAGACACTGCCAACAGAATCCATTTAGCCCTCAGAGGGTCTCCAAATTAGGTGCCTCTGGAAGAACTCTAGGAGAAAACTCTGTTCTCAGGGAATACGTCATACATTGTGCAACATTTGACAACACAAAGACATTAATGATATTAATGGAAGAAGTACCAGGGCAATTAAAAAGGATTTCAAGGCGCTGGGTCGATTAGTTAATGGGACAGGAGCACAGGTGGTGTTTGCCTCAGTTCCTGCAGTAGCAGGGATGAACGAGGAGAGGACTAGGAAAACTCATCTTATTGGTTTTTTTGACCATAGGGCAAATTCCATGGTACCTAGTCTCCTCAAATCAGATGGGCTTCATTTATCTAGGAAGGGCAAAAGGACTCTAGGCCATAAGTTGGCAGGGCTGATCAGGAGGGCTTTAAACTAGGTTTGAAGGGGGAAGGGATTGAAACCAGGCTCTCCAGAGAGGAGCATAAGGGTGGAAAGCCCGAGTTAAGGGTGAAATCAGCAGCCCAGCTGAAGTGCATGTACACCAATGCACACAGCATGGGTAACAAACAAGAGGAGCTGGAAGCCATCGTGCAGCAGGAAAGCTGTGATGTAGTCGCCATCACGGAAATGTGGTGGGATGACTCGCATGACTGGCGTGCTGCCATGGGTGGCTACAAGCTCTTCAGAAGGGACAGACAAGGTAGGAGAGGTGGAGGGGTGGCTCCATATGTTAGAGAGTCTCTTGACTCTGTGGAACTTGAAGTCAGTAACAACAAGGTTGAGTGCCTGTGGATCAGAATCAGGGGGAAGGCCAACAAGGCTGACATCCTGGTGGGAGTCTGCTACAGACCACCCAATCAGGATGATGAGGGTGATGAATTATTCTGCAAGCAGCTGGCAGATGTATCAAAAATTGCCAGCCCTTGTTCTCGTGGGTGACTTTAACCTGCTGGATGTCTGCTGGGAACTCCACACAGCAGAGAAGAGGCAGTCTAGGAGATTCCTAGAGCACATTGAGGATAATTTCCTGTTCCAGCTGGTAAATGAGCCTACCAGGGATGAGGCCCTGCTAGATCTTCTGTTCACAAACAGAGAGGGGCTGGTGGGAGATGTGGTGGTCGGTGGATGTCTGGGGCACAGTGACCACGAAATAATAGAGTTTTCAATGCTCAGGGATGCAAGGAGGGCCATCAATAAAACCTCTACACTGGACTTCCAGAGGGCAGATTTTGGCCTACTCAGAAGACTAGTTCAGAGTGTACCCTGGGAAACAACCCTTGAAAACAAGGGGGTCCAGGAGGGATGGACATGCTTCAAGAAGGAAGTCTTGAAAGCACAGGAGAAGCCTGTCCCAGTGTGCCAAAAGGCAAGCCGGCAGGGAAGATGACCGGTCTGGCTGAAAAGGGAGATTTTGAAGGAAATTAGGGTAAAGAAGAGAGCCTACTGACTATGGAAAAAAGGGCTGGCTACTCAGGAAGAGTTTAGGAATATAGTTAGGTCATGTAGAAAGAAAACTAGAGAGACAAAGGCACAACTTGAACTTAATCTTGCCACTTCTGTGAAGGATAACAAGAAGTCCTTCTACAGATACAATAAGAGGGGCAAGGAAAACCTCCATTCTTTATTGGACATGGGTGGAAATATAGTTATCAAAGATGAGGAAAAGGCTGAGGTATTTAACACCTTCTTTACCTCAGTTTTCAACAGTAAGACAGGTTGTCCTGAGGACAGGTGGCTTCTGGAGCTTGTAGAAAGAGATAAGAATCTGAATAGCCCCCTGTAATCCAGGAGGAAACAGTTAGTGACCCACTGAGCCACTTGGATCCTCACAAGTCTGTGGGACCAGATGGGATCCACCCAAGGGTGATGAGGGAGCTGGCAGAAGAACTCACCAAGCTGCTCTTCATCATTTACCAACAGTCCTGGCTCACTGGGGAGGTCCCAGATGATTGGAAGTTGGTGAATGTCATGTCAATCCATAAAAAGGGCTGGAAGGAGGACCCGGGAAACTACAGGCCTGTCAGCCTGACCTCAGTGCCTGGCAAGGTTATGGAGCAGATCACATAAGTGATCTAAGTGCAATCACACAGCACCTACAGGATGGACAAGGGATCAGACCCAGCCAGCACAGGTTTAGGAAGGGCAGGTCCTGTCTGACCAACTTGATCTCCTTTTATGATCAGGTGACATACCTGGGGGATGAGGGGAAGGCTGTGGATGTGTCTACCTGGACTTCAGCAAAGCCTTTGACACTGCCTTCCACAGCATATTCCTGAAAAAGCTGGCAGCCCAGACTTGGACAGGGGCACTCTCTGCTGGGTTAGGAACTGGCTGGAGGGACGGGCCCAGAGAGTGGTGGTGAACGGTGCTGCATCCAGTTGGCGGCCGGTCACTAGTGGTGTTCCCCAGGGATCAGCGTTGGGCCCAGTTCTATTTAATATCTTTATTGATGATTTAGATGAGGGGATTGAGTCCACCATTAGAAATTTGCAGATGGCACTAAGTCGATCAGCTGGAAGGCAGGAGGGCTCTGCAGAGGGACCTGGACAGGCTGGAGAGTTGAGATGATTCCAACGGGATGAGGTTCAACAAGGCCAAGTGCCGGGTCCTGCACTTTGGCCACAACAACCCCATGCAGCCCTACAGGCTGGGGACAGAGTGGCTGGAGAGCAGCCAGGCAGAAAAGGACCTGGGAGTCTGGGTCGACAGGAAGCTGATCATGAGCCAGCAGTGTGCCCAGGTGGCCAAGAAGGCCAATGGCATCCTGGCCTATATCAGGAACAGTGTGACCAGCAGGACCAGGGAAATGATTCTTCCCTTGTACTCAGCACTGGTGAGGCCACACCTGGAGTATTGTGTCCAGTTCTGGGCCCCTCAGTTCAGAAAGGACATTGAGGTGCTGGAGCAGGTCCAGAGAAGAGCAATGAGGCTGGTGAAGGGACTCGAGCACAAGTCCTGTGAGGAGAGGCTGAGGGAGCTGGGGTTGTTCAGCCTGGAGAAGAGGAGGCTCAGGAGAGACCTCATCACTGTCTACAACTACCTGAAAGGAGGTTGTAGCCAGGTGGGGGTTGGTCTCTTCTCCCAGGAAGCTATCAGTAAGACAAGAGGGCATGGTCTTAAGCTTTGCCAGGGGAGGTTTAGGTTAGATATTAGGAAGAAATTCTTTACAGAGAGGGTAATCAGGCATTGGAATGGGCTGCCCAGGGAAATGGTGGATTCTCTGTTCCTGGAGGTTTTTAAGATGAGATTGGATGTGGCACTTAGTGCCATGGTCTAGTAACCACAGCGGTAGTGGATCAAGGGTTGGACTTGATGATCTCGGAGGTCCCTTCCAACCCAGCTGATTCTAGGATTCTATGATTCTATGAATGCTAACAGTCCAACTGAGCTTCACTTCAGAGCAAAGGCCAGTCTAGGACCCACTTCACTTTGAGCAGGGTTGCATGCATTAGATTGATAAAGTCCAGCTTTGGCTGGTTAATTCAGTGAGATTTCCAACTACCTCTGAATCAGCAAGGATCAAGACTGCCAAATTAAGCTGCATTTCTGTAGCATAGGAAGCAATCCTTGAACAGGTTGTATAACCCTTTTGTTACACTGAAAAAGTTCTTTGGAATCCTTCAGAATGAAAGGCTCTATTTTAGAAAGTACTGCAGTGAATACAGAAGATGCAAAAGTGAATGTTTGAACATAACTACAGATAAAATGTCAAGGTGACCTCTTCTGTAACAGCCTCTCTTTGCTAATCAAGTGCAAACTTGTGCGTGGCTCTCCTGTCTCACGTGGACTTTACAAGCTGCCTGGGCCTACCTGCCGGAACAGAGTCAGAATAATTCCAAAAAGGATCAGGTCCATGGTGGTTTAAGTCAGTTTTGAGGGAGATTTAGGGAAGATTAAATTTAAACATTCTTCAATTAAATTTAAACATACTTCAAAAGACCTTCTTGATTTTTGTGCATCCATGTGGATCTCAACCAAACCACTCCTGTAAGATTGGAAATCCACCACTCAATATGAAGGTGGAGTAACATTTATTTTGTTCAAATGAATTACTGACTGTAGGATGCAAACTTTTAGAACAAATGAAATCAATGAAGGTGTTAAAGAAACTCACCATAGTGACTGGTCCTATTGCTTGGGTCATGTTTTGGGCAGAACACTCTAAAATTTAAGTTCAATTTTAAGAAAAAGAGAAAAAGTATTAATAAATTGTAAACAGAGTTATGCTGACTGATTTTAACAGTTATTTCCCCCTCTTTTCATTAAACATAAACTGAAAGACACTTAAAAAGAATTATAAGAATTTTTGTTCAGCATTACCCACCTAAGAAGGCACCTGCTATGAAGTCACAGGCCATGCACAAGCTTGTATCTCTACTTTTAGAGCCTCACTGGACTCTCAACACCGAAGCCTTGAATGACCAGTTCCATCAGCCCACTCTGCCTGGACCCGCCCACTGTTCAAATCCCACGTCAGACACACTTCATCTGGTGTGGTGACCACTGTGTCAGAGGCAACTCTTATTGAAACGAGGTTAATGCTGCCAAGGTGAAATACCGCAGAACTAACATTCCGCTCCCTCGCCCTGCACCATCAGGCCAGGAACCTCTCCTGCCACACCTGCTCACCAGCCAGCTTGAATTGACAAGCCCTGCTCCATGTGCCGGCAGAGCTGCACAGCACCACCACATACAGCACCAGTGACTTGCTTGGAGATCTGTTGGAATGTAAGTTCTTTATGACACAGTAGAGATAAGAAGAGATCTTAGCAAGAAGCCTTGGGATCTAAACAAAAGCAAGATAAGCAAGCACACTTGTAGACTGTGGTAAATCTCTTCGTGACTTTGTTTTGCCCCATCTATCATTGTAAATTGTGATAAAGAAATGCCTGCCTATCTATTTGATGAGAAGCATCTCCCTGGGTTTCCTGGACCTTTAATTCCAGCTATGAATGGAATGTCCGTCCCTCCTTCCACAAACCCTATACATAACGAAAGTTTTAATTAATAAATGATTCAGTCTTGTACACGCAAACTGTGTCCATGCAATAATTCAACTGTTACAGAGACCTCTGTGCCCCTCCCCTCCCCACTGCCTGTGCTGACAAGGTGGTTCCCAAATCCTAAGGAAGTAGGGCACCCTGTTTGAGATCCAGTAGCTTAAAGCTGCTCAATCCATTCCTCAAAGGCTTTAGTAGTATGCAAGATGAGAATATTTTCACTGGTTCTAGGAGAGCAATGTGAATTCCTTGGAAGAGGCAAAATGCAACAAATATAACTGGAAATATTCCTTATCTTCTGGTTACAATAATGCGCAGAGAACATGAACCAGCTTTTATAATATGCCTTTCTTACAGAAGGATCCCAATTCACTTCTTAAGCAAAAATGCCTTATAAAGAGCATGATTTAGTTGAACTCTTCCTTACAAATCTATTTGCCAAGCCTACTGCTCAAGTCCTTGGAAGCAGTTTTTAAAGGGAACTGCATTTACTAGGACATTTTCTAATTACTGTCACTCTTATTTTAACAAAAATAGAAGCACTGCCCTTAGAAATGCAGTCCATTTCCTTGAAATGGACTTTTCATGCTTTTCTGCATGAAATGTAATTTTATGCACAAAAAAATCAGATTTAGGTATGCCTAACAACTCAATCAGAAAGCTAAGTAATGGCGACACCTTATTTACAGCCTTGAATTTCCAATATTGCCCTCTGAAGATTGCTTTTATTTCTTTCCCTCCCTTCAATTCCAGTCTTTCCCAGTTAGAAACAACCCTCCTAAGCACAAGAATATCTTATAAAGAACAGACAATATATTTTACTACTCAGGCCACTTTATTTGGAAGCACTTCCCTACTATCATTTTTGCAAGACAACATAACAAATCTACTTATTTCCCCACCTGTACTCTTACTGCCCACTTCCACAGCACTGTATGCCTTCTCTTTTTGCTGCTGCTCTATTTGTTTTGATATGCTCATCATCACAACAATGGCAACTCAGAATTTAAAAACACCAGCTCCATCTCTCTCAAAGGAATTCTCTCCCTTGATGTGCTTTTTAGTATGTCACATTCACTGTTTTTCAAGTCCACTCTCCAATAATTTCAGGCTAGATACAATTTTTGCCATTGATACCATGCAAAAAATCTTTAGGTTCAAATCCTTGAAGCCTGCCTCACCATCTTTTTCTAATCCAGTCCTTTCCCATCCCTTCAATACAGGTTGCTATAGTCTAGTTTCCCATATTATATCTATGTAGAACACACAACTAGTCTCACAGTGACATTTTTAAGGGTCTCTCTTCCAAACCTCCAAGCTCAAACACCCATCACATCAAACTATATATTCAACCACTGCTTTACCAGTTTCTATCTAGACAGTTCCACTTATTTTTCAGCATCTTGAGAAGGTCAGTCTTCTTGAGCCCAAGTTATCCTTTCTAAATACATATAATGAAAGCCATTTATTCTGTGATCACAGGAAGTTTCCATCTTCCCAGCTATACTCCTTCATGAGCTTGGCAGACTTCCAAAGACTTTACAAGCATAAACGAAACATACCATCTTCCCTATACAGCTGGGCTTACTGCCTTGCATTTTAGACTGACAGCCCTCGTGAAGCAGCCAAGAGTGCAAGTGTTTTGATACAAAAGGACCCATCTTCCACTGCTACTAAGGACTGCAGTAGTCCATCGTTTTTTGAAACAAACAGTGATCAGATGATCCCTCAGACTAATCTAAGGCTAACCTGGCCTGTGATCCCTCTGGTTTTGCACAGAAACGAACATCAGGGGTTTTATGCACCTTAGACTTTACCACAACTCCAGCATTTCAAAAGGTCCCTGAAGTCCCAATTTCTCAACCGCTTCATGTGCATCCTCCAAACAACTTGTTCCGTTTGTTAATGGCAACGCAGGCAGCCCAAGGGCAGTGGACACGAGAACTAGCATGATCAGGACAGAAACTTTACTTAGAATCTATTTAGTTGTGTTAATGCTAGTAGTGTACTTGAAATACAAGGTCCTTGGTGGGAATCAAAGTTCTCTGCTAGCATAGGGAGGGAAAATTACCAGAATTTGCCTAATGTGAACAGACCTAGAAGTACTGTAGCCTACTCCATGCTCAGACTGCATTTACTGGAGCTTCTGAACAAAAAAAAATAGAGTATTTCCATGATATTAATAATAAAAATCTTGGTCCTTGAAGACTAGCAAGGTAGTCAGTAGGGACTGACTGCCTCAGTTTTGGCCTAGTGAACTTTCAGGTATGTTACAGGTTCAAACACTAAATAGATTCCCTCCCACTGCTGTGAAGTTTTCATGTGAAAGAAAAATGTTTCCCCCAGTGCTTGCAAACGGAGGATCAAGCATCCCTTTAAGAGAGAAGAAAACACCTCCTTTTCTAAAAAAACCGTTAAAAACCACGTGATTTTTAAGCCTCTCTTCCCGACACCACCATCACCACCATAAAAATGCTGACAGCGCTTAAGTCAGAAAACACTTGGGTAAATACCGGTAGACCCCCTTCACTTGGTCGGTTTCTATGGCAGCGTCGTCGCAGAGCGCGCAGTAGTAGTGGTAGCTCCTGCGGCAGGCTCTCTCCTCACAGCCCACAGTGGCTCCTTTCTTGCGGCAGAAGTTGCACACCTAGAACAGGATGGGGTGTAGCACGTAAACGTCACAGGCGGCTACTGAAAATCTTGCCATGTAAGGCAAATACCATCCTCTGCGGGAAAGTCCAATATTTCATTGCAAGTCACTTTTGTGTAATTCATTAGGCAAGCTCACTCCTGCAAACTCCCATCCTGGTCATAATTTCAGCCACCTTTTTGCTACCTTTACCTCTGCTTTGTACAGATACATTTGTAAGATGATGCAAACGTGAGGGCACTGGGTAACTTCCCCAAATTACTTCAAGACCAGTGAGTATTAGTGTTTGTACTTATGTTTTCTAGGATAACTTCATAAGGAAAAGAGTTCCACTCAGGATGTAGGGGAGGAGAGCAGCTGAAGACAAAGCCAATTACAAAAAAACCCTCATACAAATGACCTTTGTTCTGCTAAACACAGAAGGTGCTTCCCTTTACACTTATGGATTGCATGCTTTTGTTTCAGGCACTGGCTTAGTCCTTCACCAAAGTCTTAGGAAACTTTGACTAAGGACTTAGAGGCCAGAAACAAACAAACAAACACCTGCATTTTAATACAGAATGAACTAAATTTCACCGAATATAATGCCAGTGATTCTAACATCAAATCTGTAATTTTCCTAATCTTAGTAGATCAGAAAGACTAGGTATTTTTATGTATTTTTTTTAAAGCACAGAACAGGCCAGATAACCTTCAGTACTATGAGACTGGACTAACTGCACATTCGGAAACAAACTCCTTACCAGCCGCTTTCCTCTCCTGAGCTCTTTCAACACTGATGCCACATCAAACCTTATATCCAGATTTTCTGGGTTATACTCTTCAGATTCCACAAATCCTGAGGAAAATAACTAAAGACAAAAGGGACAATATTAAGAAATAAGAGTGACTCAGTCACCAGTGCAGAAAAGAGACAAAGAGCGCATCTTTTCTTCTTGCACTTGCCCTACCTAAGGAGGTTAATTTTCCTCTGGGTTTTTAATAGGTTTCACCTATGCTAAATAAGGAGCTGTGCAGTCAGAGGAAGCTCCTCTTCTACACAGGAGATTTCACATGACATGAAAGTGAACTAAGAAAAGATAATGAGGTAAGAAACTTATTAAGGAACATGAATGAAAAAAATGTGGAATTCTAGCCTGCCCAGAGTAAGGAGGAGAAGCCAACAGACATCCACACCTTGAACATCTTGTTATGTGCTCAGTTGTTCAGACTTATAGCTGGATGCAATATTTCTCTCTGATAAGATTTCCATACAGCCCAATGCTGACAAGAGTTGACTGCATGAAAAACATAGGAACATTGTACAAAGCCTGGGAGAAATCCACAAAAAATATATACATGTACACTTGGGCCACTTTAATTCCCACAGAACTGCTGAGCCATGACGATGAGTGAGGAAGGGGAAGTTCTTGACAACTATTTCCTAACAACTGTATATAGCTAATTCCAAACAAAGGCATCAACTTTCATCAACTGGCAGGCACAGCCTGTCTGCTCAGAAGGTGATAGCTAACTGCAAGAAACTCAAACAGCACAGATAAGTCTAAGGCAAAGAAATGAGTAGAGTTGCTGGCAAGAGAGAAAGAAGAAGGGAGAGAGAAAAGCGAGGAAGAAGTTTCAACACTGGAGCAACATTAAAGCCCTAATAAAACCTGTTTCAAACAAAACATCTAAGTAACACTGTAAAAGAGGTATCAAATGTTTCTGAAATATTCTGTGACAAAAAGAACTAACCAACCAAAAAAGGTAGCTGAAAAATAAAGATGTACACATAAAAACTGTGAGAATAAGAAGGCTGGAACAGCAAAAGCCAGAAAACTGTTCTAACAGCAGACATTTCCTGCACTAAATGACCCTCAGCTATATTCTCCCTCTCCTGAAGGGAGAATACAGCATCTGTACTTGATTCTGCACACCAAGAACCAGTTCCATCAAGATTCCAGAATAAAGGGGAGGCATTCTGACAGCAAGAAAAGTAAATGCATTCTAGGATCACAGCACGCTTCAAGCTTCACAGATATTTTTATATAATAAATTTCTGATATTTTTACTTCTTATTTTAAATAAGGCACAGACTGGGAAGTTTTTTTACCTTCATGTATCAAGTGAATACTTTCCTGCAAAGGTTTCAGTGAGTACACAATTTCCTATGTGTAGATAAGAACTTCCTTCTTATCCAACTTAGTGTCTCGAGAAGACCTATTACTACTAGTAGACTGTACGTGTGCCTAGAATCACTGATCAGCTACAGACACACATGAAAACACCAAAAATCAACATGTCCAGCTGTGCAGCCATGGCCTCTCCCACTCCAAAATCCTGGCCAAGCCCTGTTGCTTTTCATAGCTTTTCAATCTAATATAAACTTGCTGGTTTGAGTAACCAGCCTTTCAAATCAGATACCACTGTAAAGTCAAGAACAAAAAAAGCAGTGGAAATTTCCCCCTTATCCCTTCTTCTCCACTGGTCTTAGGTACTGACCGACTAAAAGCCACTCACCAGACAATCCTGATGAGCTGCAATATCGCTCTCTTTGGCAACATACATTACAGAACCAGCCGCCCCTTCTGAACAAAATGCACATGTTCTTCTCACCATCTTCGCCATTATCCAGAAAGCACCTAGAGCAGGAAAAAACTGGGACAAAACACAAAGCAGTTGATGTAACCACCATATGCCAAGTAGGACACAGAAAAGCAGAGCTTGCTAGCACTTGTCCTCTAACTGCTCCTTCTCTTACATCTCCTGAAGCTTGGTGTTTTGCTCCTCCAGCAACAACTACCAGTAGAATAGGCAAAGCCCACTCTTGGGACAGCAGTGGGATGGAAATCAGCTCGCAGGAGCTCCAACTGTTGGAGCAGGAGGAAAAGTGGTTTCTCTCTTCTTGGAAAGTCACTAACAAGTCATAAGGGACAACACAAGTTTTCAAGCTTGCTTGGCAATACCTGCCCCAACAACAGGACCCAAGAGCAGCCCAGCAAGTCACACCCTAAGGAGTGAAACTCCTTCTACTTGGAGGAGGTCAATCACTCATAGCAGTGCTTTTCTTAAGGTGCTTCTGCCACATGTGGGTCTGCAAGTCAACAGAGGAGAGAAAATCACCTGTCCCCAAACATCTACAGTGCATTCCAGGAGTTCACAGAAAACAAGGAAGAAACACTAATTTCTTACTGTAAGAAAGATGTAGCAAAGAAGCATGGAAGGGCCTGTAAGTAAAAGGGAGCAGAAGACAGAATCAGAAACGAGAGATTTGAACATTCTCTCTCAAAGAGGTGAAGCGCTAACAGGAGTGACAGAATTTTCTCTATGCCCTGGGATTTGCTCCAGGCACAGCTGTTCTCTTTTTCTGGCCATATCCACTCTAGTCTTAATTGTTGTTCTTCACACAGTCTCTCTTTTCCTCCAGCAGCTGCAAAACTTTGAGGCCATCTACTTATTTCACAAAAACAGTCTACAGGCATCTGGACGAGCCTTCACACATATCCCCCATCAGTAGTTTAGAGCACCACACCACAACATCAGTAGCAGAAGTTTTACTTTGCGTTTTTTTGTGCAAGTCCACCGCAGAAATCTTCAACAACTTCCCACTCCTACTAAGTGTGATACTCCACTGTCCTTTGCTGGAGACGCCACCTCTGACAGCACAAAGTCCTGTATGACAAGGGGAAGAAAATCTGCATTTACTTTCAAGAAATAAGAAAATCTGAAGTTAAATTATTCTAGTGAGGGAAAGGTAGTAAGGTCCAAGTACAAAATCTCATAGTCCACCAAATCTTGCAACTTTTATCTGGCTTTCAACAAACTGTTTTCATTAGTTCCCATCTCCCTTGCATAAAACAGACTGGGTAGTCCCAAGTGAGAATTGCACCAGAGCAGAAGGAGATTTTTTATATGTTTTCTCCCCTCTAGCTCACGCTACTGAGAATTTACTTCATCACAACAAGCCACTTTACCTTCACAGACATCTAGGGGGGATTTCCCCTCCATCCTTCTACCTCTTATAAGCAGGGCAGGATAGGGACTGATTTCCAATATCCATCTATACAGTGACCATCACAACAGTCTCAGAACTTCAGCATTAAATAAATATGATAGAAACAAACAGAAATATATAGAAATATTAGAAACAGAATAGAAAACAGACAGAAAGAAATTTAAAAGGAGAATGAACTGGAGTTCATTCTAGAATGAACTAGGTCTAGAATGCACGAAAAGTTCTCTGTGGCAAGCTAATACCTGGAATTGATGCAGATACATAGGCCCTGTCAGGCCCAGTCAGAGGAACCAGCTCTAGGAACTTAGTGAGGAAGAGGCTAAAGATGGAGTCTACAGACCCTGGTGTTCTTACAGACTCAGGAGAGATCACTCACCAAATAATATCACAGGCAAAACAGACTCAACTTGGGGATATTAACTGAATTTATTACTAATAAAATCAGAGCAGGATAATGAAAAATAAAATAAATCTTAAAAACACCTTCCCCCCTCCCCTCCCTCCTTCCCAAGCTCTACCTCCTCCCCCAGTGGCACAGGGAGATGGGGAATTGGGGTTACAGTCAGTTCATCACATGTTTCTGCCACTGCTAAGGGAGAGAAGTCTTTCTCCTGCTCCAACATGGGATCCCTTCCACAGGAGACAGTCCTCCATAAACTCCTCCAGCGTGAGTCCATCCCACGGGCGACAGTTCTCCACAAACAGTTGCAATGTGGGTCACTTTTCCATGGGGTGCAGTCCTTTGGGCACAGTCTGCTCCAGCGTGGCTCTCCCCCAGGATCACAAGTGCTACACCAGGAAACTTGCTCCAGTGTGGGCTCCTCTCTCCATGGGTCTGCAGGTCCCTGCAAGGGGCCTGCTTCAGCATGGGTTTCCCACGGGTTCACAGCCTTCTTTTCAGGCATCCACCTGCTCCAGTGTGGGTCTCCTCCAGGGACTGCAGGTGATTCTCTGCATCCCCATGGTCCTCCATGGGCTGCAGGGACACAGCTGCTTCACCATGTTCTGCATGGGGGGCTGCAGGGGAATCTCTGCTCTGGTGTCTGGAGCACCTCCCCCTCCTTCTCCACTGAGCTTGGTGTCTGCAGAGTTTTCTGCTATCCTCTCATACATACACACACACACACACACACACACACACACACACACATATAGTTTTCTACTATATCCTCTATAATATTCTTACTCCACTCTTCTCTGACCACAATTACATCTGCCCGATAATTTTTTTCCCCTTCTTAAATATGTTATCACAGAGGCATCACTATCACTCCTGATTGCCTCAGCCTTGGCCAGTGGCAGGTCCATCCTGGAGTTGGTTGGCATTGTCTATGTCTGATATGGGGGAAGTTTCTGGCAGCTTCTCACAGAAGCCACACCTGAAACCACCTCCCGCTACCAAAACCTGGCCACGCAAACCCATGACACCCCCACAGGAGCCTTGCTTCAGTTCCTTCCTCTTCCCTAGCTTTCTGCTATGGAGTACTGCCCAGAATAGGACATGGAGCTAAACAGGGCAATGGATCTGGCTGAGTGCTCCCATGCAAGAAGGGGGAGGCTAAAGGCAGGGTTCCAGTTTCACAATTTAACTATATTTCACCTAAACAATATCTTGCTTTTGCAGGGCTTAAGTTAGCTGCTCACAGATTCCAGTGGAACCCCAAGATCTGTCCAAAAAGGCAGGAAATCCTTGTTCCTTAGTCCGCTCTTCCACTCGCACTCATGACAGCAAAATTCTTATTTCTCCTACTGTGTCTTGTTCAAGTTGAGGAATCTGTTCCTTGTCCAGAAGCTGGTCTGCATCTTTGATCAGCTCCGTCACTTCTCAATCCCTTCTCTACTCTTGCTTGCTCCAAGAGGAGCAAGCCATCTTCAAAAGGGTGGGCTACCATTTACAGTACAAAGTCACAAAGTCACTCTGTACCCTTTTCTTAATAATTGTTAATATTCCAATCACATTTTAGACTGCTTCTGAGCAAAGAGCTGACACTTTCATAAAACTATTGCTGGAAGCTCAAAGCAGCGAAGCAAATGCAAAGCTCAACACGCGATGAGGTCCACAGTGATGAGAGCAGACATGGAAACCAGATGGAGGGCCGGTAGTTTGTGCTGCCAAGCATCAGGGACGAATGTGAGGAGGGGCGGGAGCCACGTGGTCTCGTTCTTCCACTTGCTTACCAAGACTGCTACCAACTACACCTCCTGAGTACTCCATGCAATGCGACCACAAAGAATGGAACACTGGACGACAGTCCCAGCCACAGCACGTTGTACAGTAATGGTGAATAAGGTATAAAAGTACCCCAATTCATACCAAACTGGGAACATGAGAATTTGACATGGAAATTGTAGGGACAGATCAAAAGGTTTGTCCTCCTCACCCTCCCCAGAAGGGATACCTTTCAGTGAGACTTGTGTACTTGGCTACATGAAGTCACAGAATCACACGATCAATTAGGTTGGAAAAGACCTCTGAGATCACCGAGTCCAACCTATGACCAACCACCACCTTGTCAACTAGACCATGGCACCGAGTGCTATGTCCAATCTCTTCTTAAGCACCTCCAAGAATGATGACTCCACCACCTCCCTGGGCAGCACATTCTAATATCTAATCACTCTTTCTGTGAAGAAATTCTTCCTGATGTCCAACCTAAATCTCCCTATGTTTTCACCCAGAACATTAAGTTGTGATTGCAATTGTGTTGTTAGTGTTTTATACAGCTATTCTTCAATAACACACGTATATCTCGGACAACTCAAAAGAACCTCATATATTACATTTAATAAGCCACACTCTTCGTGAACCCGACTGGATCCTTTGAATGTGACCAGACCTACAGTTAATTGACTATTCCTGCACCCAATATCAGGCCTAGAATTGTGGTTTTGCAACAACTACGTACTACAGTTCCCCAGATCTCTTTCTGAAGTGGTATCAGATAGTGCAGAGGACATCAGCATTACAGTTACTACTCTGACACATCATATCCCACTTATCAACGTTGGATTTTCATCTCCTGTTTATAGTCAATCCCTTGCTGTCACAAAGTCCTTCTGCAACCCTCCGTTTCCACTTCCATTGTCACAGGAGCAGGCTGTGGGAACCCAAGGGGACCAATTCACCTATATGAGTTGGACTGCCCTCCAGTCAGAAGACAGAGATGCAGCTGACAGAAAGGAACAGTCACACCTGGCTGCTTCCCCTGTACCTGTGCCATTTCCTCGAAGTAAGGCTGTTGGGGTTGGTTTTGCTTTTGCAATTGTGACAAAAGGTAAGATACTGGGAAAGGAAACAGAAAGTAAAAAAGGACAAGGACATTGTTGGCAAGAGCACACTTGTGCCACTTCCAAATACATCCTGCTGAAACATCACCAGTTTGTCTAAGTATTTCCTCTCCAGGCTCAATTCTGAAAGCATCCTTGCACGTAAATACACGCATTTTACATGGGAGAAAACTAAGGCACAGAATGTCACGTGGCATATCCACAGAGGGGAAAGGAAAAGAACCCAAGTGTCCTGACTTCCAGCACGCCAAAGAAACCCACCGCCCCAGCTCCAGCTCCGCTGTCCTCTTCCCCGCAGAGCAGCGAAGAGATGGATCTGCGGAAGCAGGAAGACAGAAGGAAATGACATATCAGCTCCCCGACACTCACCGTGCCCCCCGTTTCCGCTTTGTGGGGAAAGAAGCCCAGCTGGAGATGGAACAGTTAGGGTTAGGGGTGGGATGGGATGGCTGGGCACGACCCACACGCGTCCCCCCCCACTCCCCCCAAAATCATTACAGCACAAACACACCCAGCCTTTGCGAGGAGCAAAACCAAGCAAATCTGCCCTTCTGAACACCTTTCACTTGTGGTCACCTCGTTCCAAACCCCTGCCATGGGCAGGGACACCTTCCACTAGACCGGGCTGCTCAGAGCTCCATTCAACCTGGTCTTGAACACTTCCAGGGATGGGCACACACAGCTTCTCTGGGCAACCTGTGACAGGGCCTCACCGCCCTCACAATAAAGTGTTTTTTCCCGATACTCACCCTAAACCTGCTGTCGCCCCACGGCCCCCCCGTCCCGGCTCTGCGCGAGACCCGGCAGGGCCCACTCCTTGGCACTGCGGGGACGGAGGGGGGGTGACCAGCACTCAGGAGGCGCCGAGTCTCGCGCACTCCCTTCCCTTCCCTCCCCTCCCCTCCCCGCTCCGCCCCGCCCCCCCCGCGTGCCCGCGGTGGCACTTACCGCCCGCCCGCCCGCGGCCCGGCTCGCGCACGCTGCCGCTCCCACCGCCCCCTCCCCCGCCCCCAACGCTCCCGCGCGGAAGTGGGCGGGCCCAGCCGGGCCCGGAGCATGCGCGGTGGTGCCCGTCGATGCTTGCCCGGAGCACCCCCCTCCTCCCGGCACTGAAGGGGAAGGCGCGCGCCGCCGTTCCGTCAGTCACGTGATCGGGTGGGGACGCCCGGGCTCCTCCCCGCCCTTTCGGGTAGGCCGCGGTCTGGGACCGGGAACGCGGGTTCCATAGTCGCCCCCGGCGCTCCCGGGGCGCCGCCGGGCAGCCGCTTCCCGAGGGCTTTCCCCATGGGAAAGGCGACACCCCCATGCTCCCATCGGCCCCCCGTTCACTTTGCACAGAATCACAGAATCAATTAGGTTGGAAAAGACCTCTGAGATACTGAGTCCAACCCATGACCGAACGCCGCCACGACAACCAGGCTGTTGGGAAAATCTTTATTTGTAACAAATAGTGTTATACGGGGAAAAAAACCCCAACTTTCTTAAGAAAGGATGTTCTTTGATGTTTGATCTTTGTAACCTTCAAGACCAATGAACAAGAAGAAAGATTCAATCCATGAAAGAGATGGCAGCCAACGAGCAATGATGTCAAGGTGTTAGAAAAACAAACTGAAGTTTAGGGCATGACATGCTTCATTGATTGCAGACCTGGGGGAGAAGGTTAACATAGTTTGGGAAGAAAGATGTACCGCTGAAAATAGACAGGAAGAATGCAGAATTTACAGGCCACAAGGACATTTGTCAGAACTCATGAGATAAGAAAGAAACTCATAAAACCAACTCCATAATTGTGCTGCAGTCAGCTCCAAGTGGGTAAAAGGCAATTCTGGCAGGGGGGATCAGAGACTACTGACGCAGGAAACCCACTGACTGAAAAGAAAGGAGAAACTGAGCATGCAACTAATTAGCATGAGAAGAGAGAGAATCATTAACTGATAGAAGATACAATATGAATACTGGAACAGTGTCACTTGTAGCCAGTGAACACTGATTCCTTTGTTTGCTAAAGTGTAAAAATAGTTAAAAATTTTGATTATCGGGGGGTGTGTGTCAGGAGGAGCAATTCCCCCACGCACCTCGAGCCAAAGATAAAGTAATGCCTGCTCGGCTTTCTAATACTGAAATTACAGTGTTAGAGAGTTTTATTTTCCCGACGTTTTCAGTGACAATTTCTGGTGATTCAGATGGAACCTGCATCCAATGCTTGACAGATTCACAGGATCGAGAGGACTCCAGTGTGCACCAGAGGTTTTTCAGGGAGATCCTCTGGTCCCCTGATCTATTGAGTTCAAGGCATGGCCCCTGGGATTTATTAAGGTGTTACTGGGGGGGGGGGGCTGGAAAGTCTCGCTGGATTAAGGTAAAGGGAACTTGGAAACTAGGTTTTGGGCTAGTTTGCGCATAATTATGGGGACATCCAGAGTGCCAGCCCTACGGAAGGTTAAAAAGTGTGAGCAGGTTTTGCACACCCCTCAGGGTTAAAAGTGTGAGTGGCTGTTGCACATCACTCTCAAAAGGAAATGTGATTGTGTTTTATTATATTCTATGAAGGGTTCTGGTCAAACATCAAAAGAGGGGGCTTTGGAGAAATCACGCCTAGGATGTATTTTGAAGCGGTGGAGGGAGGTGGGAGGTGCAACAGGAGGCTCTCTCTCCAGAAAAAAGTTAATCGAATACTGTAATAATTGGTGGCCTTTGTACTCTTTGGATGATGGTGAAAAATGGCCAACGAATAGAACTTTAAGTTACAATACAATGAAAATACCTTGTGAGCACTGATGCATATGGGCTTGGGAACTGGGACACCAACCGTACAATTAACACACGAATAGCAGGTGGTTCTTCCAAAACTCATTTATCAAGGAACAAAGCAAGTTGTGGGTACTAGTCTCATGGTGACCTTTTCCATGGCAGGTAATTTGACTACAAGCCAACCACTTTATCCCATAAATGACAGCCTGAGTGAGCCTTCTTTGAGCTCTCCCTGCTAAGCAGCTGGCTGCATGGCAGTGATCTCCCCCTGTGAGCTGGGACACCTCTCACAGTTACTCCTTGAGGTCGGGAGACCCGAGCCCAACTGCAGGTCCCTGGTAAGTGACTGGGGGATTATATAATCTTGTATTAGAGTGCACTAGATTTTGTATTGGTAACTGATTTTGTGTTGGTAATTTTAAATCATTATTATATCCTCTGCAGTAACAGAGTAAACTTTTGTTAAGTAACACTTTTACAACATCTTTAATAAAACCACTTTTTCTGATACCTTTGCTGGTGGTTCTTCAAGTGGTCTAAGTCGCCCACCTGTGACACCTCCTTCTTTGCACAAGGCTCCAACACGTTCAAAAGCCACGTGCCTGCACACCCATCCCTTGCTCCATTTCAGGGCTACATCCTGCATCTGCGCTCACTGTCCCCTAATGTAGCCTGTTTCTCTCTTACCAACAAACCACATGGCAAGGACTTCTGTGGCCCCCCTGTCCCATGCTACACAATATAGCACTGAAGTGAGGTACACTGGATTTCTCAAGGAGTTCTCTGTGTGTCACAAACGTGGATGTAATGGTTGATAAAGGCAAGGATAAATAATTTGCTGATCAAATTAAGTCTATAATAATAAAGTTTGCAATGGAATGGTTAATGTTTTACTTAGGTTGCAAAACGTTAAATTGCAAAATGCTAAACCGCAATGTTGTGTTGCCATGGCGAGTTCTATCCTCTTATGCTAAGTCTATGCTTAAGTGCACTTATAAGGAAGAAAAATCATGAAGCTACATACGAAGGACAAAGGGGGTCGGCTAAAGGGACCAGAAAGAGGACCTACTACCTTCATCTGGGGATTGCGACACGGCGAGTATTGAGGACTGTTGACTAACCAGACTGTTGGCTGGCCCCTAGCAACAGAATGAGGTCCACACAGTGAGAACCAATGATGAAGCGGAAAGAGACTAAGGGGGAGGGGGTTGCAGCAAGTATAAAAATGCGAGCTTTGGTTTATTGAGCTTGCGGACGGTTGGCGGAGCAGGAGACTCCCTGGCCGCCCAGCGCCGTTTTGCTCATTTGCCTTTAATAAATTTTGGTATTTCAAATTTTAAAATTATTTGTGGTCTCTTTAACAGTGGAGAGGGATGCCTTTTATGATAAGGTAACCCATGTAGTTGATCAAGGGAAGCCAGTTGATGTACTACTTTCAGACTTCAGCAAAACTGTTGCTACTCTCTCACAGGTTCCTTCTGCACAAAATGTCCAGCACACAGCTGGATAAACACATTATGTGGTGGGTGAACAATTGGCTCATGGGTGGAGCACAGAAGGTAACAGTGAATGGAGTGACATCAGACTGGTGACCAGTCACTAGTGGGGTTCCACAGGGCTCTATCTTGTGCTCTTCAACATCTTCATAAATGGCTTGGACACAGGACTGGAAGGGATACTAAGCAAGTTTACAGATGACACAAAACTGGGAGGAGCTGCCTTGAAGGGAGAGAGGCCCTGCAGAGAGACCTTGACAAATCAGAGGGCTGCATAATCACTAACCACATGACGTTCAACAAGGGAAGTGCTGGATTCTGCACCTGGGATGGGACAACCCTGGATGTTCATACAGACTGGGGAATGAAGTGCTGGAAAGCAGTGCCATAGAAAGGGACCTGGGCATCCTGGTCAATGGTAAGTTGAATCTGAGTCAGCAGTGCCCTGGCAGCCAGGAGGGCCAATCGTGTCTTGGGGGGCATCAGGCAAAGCATCGCCAGCCAGTCAAGGGAGGGGATTGTCCCACTCTGCTCTGCACTGGTGCAGCCTCACCTTGAATATTGTGTGCAGTTTGGGGCACCACAATACAGGAAAGATAGTGAGCTGTTAGAGAGGGTCCAAAGGAGGGCAACGAAGATGGTGAAGGGCCTTGAAGGGAAGCTGTATGAGGAGCAGCTGAGGTCACTTGGTCTGTTCAGCCTGGAGAAAGAGGAGACTGAGGGGAGACCTCATTGCAGTCGACAACTTTCTCATGAGGGGAAGAGGAGGGTCAGGTACTGATCTCTTCTCTACGGTGACCAGTGACAGGACCTGAGGGAGTGGCCTGAAGTTGTGTCAGGGGAGGTTTAGGTTGGGTAACAGAAAAAGATTCTTCACGCAGAGGGTGTTTGGGCGCTGGAACAGGCTCCCCAGGGCAGTGGTCACAACACCAAGCCTGTCAGAGTTCAAGATGCATTTGGACGATACTCTCAGGCACAAAATCAGGTCTGACTCTTGGGAATGGGTGCAGGGCCAGGAGTTGGACTCGATGATCCTTGTGGGTCCCTTCCGACACAGCATATTCTGTGATTCTGTGAGCCCAATAAGAAGCAGGCATTTCTCTCCTGCAGTAGCAGAATTTGCCCAGCTCACAGTTCTGATTAATGTAATGTCTGTTCAAGATTATTTCTCCCACCGGATCCATCAGGCTTAGGTGTATTTTAACAGTTCTAAGCCCCGAGACAGGCAGACTTGCATTCACAATGAGTTTCAGAAAAGCAAGTTTTACTAACTCAGCACTGTGGGAGGGCACAGAAAACACCAACAAACTCTTGCTCTCATCAGTTGTGTCTCTGCTGCAGATGGCACGGAGCACAAGTTCTTCCAGTGCACTGTGAACTTTGCTTGTGGATGAGAAGAGGGGAGGGGGAAGACCAGGAGCACAGAAATTATCTAGGAAAAATTTGATGCCTGTTCTTAGGACAAAGAATTCTAATTCTGTAAACTACAAAAGTGACATTTAAATGTAAATTTAAAAAAACATCAGGTGAAAGGCGTTTTAATTGAATGCAATTAGCACCACAGACTTGAGCACACTGTTCGCTGTGTAGTAGTCCTGTCCAGCATATAAATCCCAGGGTACAAGGTGTGTTGGCAGTAGGGAAGCTTTGCCTATAAGATTTTTTTCCTGCACTTCTGAACTCCACACTGACAGGAAATTTCTGTCTCTGGCATGCTTCCAGCTTCATAGCCATAATCCCACGTGAGTTCGGTTCCAGCTTTCACATGTCTAAGAAACAAAACACTCGGTCAATTCGTTTGAACTGAGTGAAACGGTACTGTGTTTACAATTTGTCACCAATGACTCACATGCAAACCCAAAAACTGTATGGGGCAGGGACCATCACACAGGCAGCTTGTTGGGAGAGAAACAAGATATATAAGGAGTCTCTGACACACACATGGTGCTTGGCCTACCAGAGCTGTACAGAGTGCAAATACCCACACATAGATGAAAAGAATTTATCAAGCAGTGCAATAGTGTCGGGGTCTAAACAACCTGCTTTTAGACAAAATTCTGGGAAACAAAAATCAAACAAAACAACAACAACAACAAAAAAAGGAAAAATACATAAGTGAACACATCCTAAATGAGAACACAGTTTTGTTATTTTTACTAAGTCCAGTGCATCATTGAAGTTTGAACAGATCTCTAGATATGCTGGCCATCTTTGGCCTGACAAGCTACGTTTTAATGCAATTGCACTATCTATATGCACAAAGACTCAGAATTAAACACATGCTCCTCATGAACCAGCTGCTCTGACAGTACATGAAAGAGAAGAAATTTCTAAGGTAGGAAATTCATTGCCAAAAAGGAATGCCAAACTAAATACCTTAGACTAATATGCTGAGGGACAACTGATGGAAAATACAATAAAATATGAGCATTATAAAGAAGAGAGTAATTCTCCAATGTTTCTCATTGGATACAATGTAAGGGACATCCAGTGAATTACCAGGCAGCAGGCTGAGAACAAACAGTGAGGACTTTTCAAACAGCACATTTTAACCTGGGACTTGCTGCCTTAAGATGTTCTGGAGGTCAGACATACAAAACAAATGAAAAGGTGACTGGGCAAGTTCATGGAAGGTACACAATTAAGCTCAATGATCCAGATGAAGTCCTTAATGTAGAAAAGTTGTAAAGGGTGATGTCCAGTAAACGTGAGAGCCAGTCAGGGAAACTCTCTTTCAACAACCCTTCTCTTTCCCTAAGTGTCTTTGCTGATCACTGTTACCTCTCTCTACTTGCCTCAGTCCCCACTACACTCTTTACAGAGTACCTGAGCCAGAAAGTCTCTAGCTAAAACAAAATCTTTTTTCTGACATATTTCAACACATTGTCTTCACAATTTTTGGAAGCCTCCCAGTGCAATCCACAGCATCTGTGTTAGTTTGGACCAGGGTTGCAAGACTCTAGAGAAGATCAATGTTCCCAGGAACTGGTTTGTCTGGGACAAATTCTCTCCTATTTTAAGTTCTTGCCTAGTATCACAGCTGGTACATGCATCAGCCAGATTCATTCAGGCAATTAATCCTTCCACTCCTGGGTTTAGCTGCCCTCTTCTTATGTCTTACTGGAACCAGCTCTCTGTACCACCCTTTCTATCAGCCACTAAGGAAATACCTGCATCTTTTGCTTTCAGAGCAAATTTTCACCCTTTAAGTATCCTAATGCCACCTCCCTGGGACATGTTGGGCTACACAAAGTCCTGCTTCTCTTGATAGCTGTGAGAAGGCCTGAAGCTAGCTTGTTTGGCCCACAAAGTATCTCAACCTTAATATTCTACATTTCATCCTGCCCTATGGGACCAAGATATGCAGGCCATTCTTTGAGACAGAACAGCGGGATAAGTGAATCTTGGCTTTTAAAATAACCATGCCGAGTTAAACCTATTTGTCCACTGAAGAAAATTATCACTGAAATGGACACATCAAAATTAAGCTTCCCCACTTCATATTTCAATGCAAAACTGAAGAAAAACTCATCAGTGATAATCAAGAAACTGTATTTCTTCTGTTTTTAGTGCACAATAAGAACTCACCAATAAAAAGGTAATTTTGTGCTTTCATGATCTAAGCATCTTCCTCACCCCTCAGCATAATTATGTCCTAATAACTAAATACTGATTTTTTTTTTCCCCTAGTGCCTTGAATGAACAACATTTAACTTCCAGAAATTCACCTGTTTGTGAAGAATGCCACCCATGGAAAACTTCTGTTGTGAGTCTCTACAAACACGCTTTGTGCAAAGAGATTTGGGCAACAGCTGTGCTGTAAAACAGGAAATCTGTATTAGAAACAGTGACACACCACATCATTGGCTGAAAAACCTATTTTGTGTCAGATATTTGTCACCAGAAAAGGTAGTTTCTTCCTTCCCATCTCCAGCCCACACAGAATGTCTATTACTCAATGCCACTGCCACTTATTTTTGCAATAATTATGTCTCTTTAAAGTATCACTTTTTGCCTATGAAAACCAAGTTCTTTTATCAAGTTGTTCTCCAGAAATTTATGGAGAAAATTCATCTTAGATTCAGAATGCACCACAAATAATCAGTATGTGACAGATGTATCTTGCTGTCAGCCAGGGGAGCAGTGCAAGGGAGCAAGCAATGGAGTAAATGATCGTGTGTCAGCAAAGTGCCAGATGTGAAAGGTGATTCAGGTGCTCATAGGAACATGTGTATGCTCATGGCTGCAGAAGAAAGGTTTCTGCAAGATGCATTACTAATCTTAACACCATATTACCTCTGCAAGGAAGAACAGCTTAAACATATTGCAAGGATTTTGCTGTAAGACACATATTTTGCCAATAAAGAGAAATAAGTCCTTTGCAGAGCACATGCAGAAATGTCTATCCATCTTAGCTGGAGGTACTTGGTAATTCATTACTATTTATTTCTTGGCAAGTCAAAACTGAGAGACTTATTTAGTAGACCCGTACACAGTAGGACAGACCACTTTCTGAACCTGTGATTGAACAGTAGGGAAGTTCTGTAAAACATCAAAACACTTGTCCTAAACCAGCACTAACTAGAATTTACAATGGCTGGGAGAAGGCATGTGGATCAACAAAACGTGCCATTTGCTCTCTGGACCTCCCAGAAGGCCATCAGGATAAAGGCGTCACTCATTACTGGGAAATACATCACTAAGGAACCCAGTGGTGCCAACACTACAGCTGGTATGTGGCATGCATCAGCTTGTGAAGGCACTAACAGTGACCCAGCCTACTGTCCTGTCACTTGTGATGGCAGGGAGGACCACACGTGCCTTCCTTTCATGCATCTACCTCATATGTGGTTTATGTGCAAAAGCTTTCTAGCTTAAGCTTAAATAAATAAATGATGTATTTGCAAAGACAATGGAGAGAACGCATGCAACTTTTTACTTACATTTAGAAAACGACCCACATTTCCTTCTTTTGTGGCATCCAGTACATAAATATTTTCTTCACTAGCATTCTTCGGAGGCATCCCATCTCTATCAGCCTCCTCACAAAATGCATCTTGACTTGACTGCCTGCTATTTTCCTCTTTGCAGTCAGCTTTTAGGGGTATATTATTGGATGGCCTCGCAACACATGTGTCATCCAGCACACCTGACTTGCCACAATCAACACCCTGCAGTGACAGACTCTTTGTTTTGCATCTCGCACTGTCCACACCAACAGACTCAGTCTGTCCAATTTCCATTGGATGGTCTTCCTTCTGCTCCTCGGTGGATTCTGTCAATGGACATGTAATTATTTTTCAACATCAGTTTAAGGCCAAAGCCTTTCCCTTGTTTGGCCCTGAACTCTTACCCACCCACTCTTAAAAATGTCCTCCAAAATCTAACCATCCTGCTATTTACAAGTCTATAACACAATCGCCCTTTTCTATGCCTCTCATCAATCCTCCCGCAAATGACTGTTTCCCGCTGTAGTGTCTAAAGCACTTGCTCAAGGCTCCTGAGAGTGACAAAGTCTCTTACTCTTCCCAAATCCTACTCCAGACTGATTTCTTCCACATAGCATTTTTTCATCATTCTCCACCTTAATTCCCAAGAGAATTACAAACTATAATTTAGACAGAAACAAGATGCAAGTGCAAATAGCATTGGTTTCACACTGCCTCTCCAGCTTGAGGTCCCCCCACCCCTGGATTATATCCTGTTCAATTTTTGTTGACCAGAATATGTACTGGGTGTGACACAACAAGATCTGCAAGACTGACTTTCCCACAATTGTATTGTATTTAAAAGCTGCTGTCAGGAGAGTTCAACATGTCCCCAGATCAACTTTGCAGGCAAAAGACTGTCCTGTACCCAGTACAGTAGTGCACTGTGTTATGCAAGGCAGCAATAATTTCTGTACTACTGAGCTCTCTTAAAACAGCTTCCACATCATGCAGACATTGTTCTACTCCAAGAACAGGCCTGCCCACGCTGTCTACATTAAAAGTCTACCACCTGATGGGACACAATCATTCTAAGAATGCGGTATGTATACCTTCAAAAACCTACTTTCTTTTCCTTTCTTTGTTCCACTGTTTAGTTTTGTTTTGCTTGACTGATGAATCTGAGAACTATTATCTTCATCTGAGCTGCCACTGTGCACCTGTGTGTCAAATGAAAAGGCTGTGATGTATTGTTGCTGTGTGCAACTCGGAGTCAACACAGTACAGCAAGTGGCCTCTAGAACTCTAGGGCTGCAGGTTCAAACCTTCTGTAATGCATGGCTGTGGCTGAATTTGAAAAGTTAATACATTCACTGCAATGCAATATTTATCTTAATTTCAAACGATCCTTCAAAATAACCTGGAAGGAGTTCCCCATGCAACAAAACATTTAAGTAAGTGTCTAAGTCCCAACAATTTCACCAGAATTCTAAGTTGCTGAACCAAAGCCCAAACAAACATGCTTTTTACAGAGTTTCAATGAAATGAACAGATGTGGCAGGATTTCTCCTCTCCTGCCACAAAAAGGCAACCACTTACGGTAGCTCCAGAATGGAGCCAAACGTTAACATGAAAATCCCATGTGCATTTTGTAAGTGCAATGAATCCAATAAAACCTACAGAGTAAGTTTACCCCAGTTTTCCTCCTTTACACATATTTGCAGGCAACACTTCACACTCAGATCAGATCAAATTCTCCCAACTCTGCCACTGCATGAAAAAATCGCGTACAAATCCCAAGATTTTCCTCTCTCCTTGCTACGCCATTCTTTTGGGAGGCATCACAAAAATATTATCACTCTCACACCCTAACCCTGTAGTTAGTGACAACAGGAGGTGGAGGGGGAGAATAAATTCCTAACATTCTCAAGGCTGGAGTGTAAGTGAAGGGTGGAGAAGGGAAGGCTGTGGGAGTAGTTAGTGCTGGTCTGGAGGAACATGCTGAAGGACTGATAATGGAGAAGGGATGGGGTGCAACTTCCAGCATGGCAGCTTAGCTCACAGTGTGACACAATCTCCTGAAGAAAGGTCATTAGAACTATCTAAATGTAAAAGTTGAAAAGGTCAGAATTAACATAAATATTCAGCACAGAAAAATGAATCTATTAAAGCCTATTATTATTATTATTATTACCATTTTTAGCTGGTGATTGTGGAAAAAACCTGTTCTTCCAGGCCTTGTGGTTGCAATACTCGAGTTCTCTGGATGAACCCTGTACAGAAAGGTCAAAAGGAAATTATAAAAGACAGACTCACAAGTAACTCTCACAACACACATTTCTCAGCCTCTGGTTCTAGTCTCTTCTCTACAAGAGCCGACAGCAGAGCCTGCAGTCTGGCCTCACCTCATGTTCTGTGATTATTTTGCCTTTAAGAATTGAGGACCTAGGCTAAGTTCTCTGTAGTATTTGTAAAAAAACAGTTGTTCATACCTTTTGAGGGATCAGCAGCTGCTGACAGTTTGTTTCCCAACTGTCTAGCTGAGAACCAAACTGTCTGCTGTTTTACTATTATTACATCAGATCACCTCAAAATAGAGCACCTACAGACAGAGTTTTGCCTTTTTCCTGCTACTACTTTCAACAGTTTTAATAGTGCAGCTTCCAAACAGGAGAGCAAAGATGTTGTGGGTACATGGGACAGCAGAGGGGGAGAGATGCAATATGTGGCAGGTTTAGAAAATACTTTCCTCAAAAGGACCTCAGTCCTTCATGTTAGGAGTTGAGGAAGATGGGAAGTAGTATTTGGTATATACATTTAAAACATCTAAAGTCACATTAATTTGGATTACATTCAGACTGCAGTAGAAGACACCAGTTTCAAAACTAATATTAATATCTGTAAAATGTCTAGCAATAAATAACAGCCCTTATTCAAGAAAATTTTCAATGTAAAAAAATGTGTTTTCCTGCCACAAAAAAGAAAATCCTGGTACTTCTTTGGGCTACTGATAATTGCAAGAAATGCTGCTCTTTAAGGCTTTCTTAAGATTTAAACTCCTTTGTAAATTCAAAATGTGCAGAGGCCACAAGAAAATGTGACATTATTACATGGTTACATTGTTTATTCTTTTAAAGGCAATCTGTTTGGGTGAATGACGCATCAAGCCTAGCACACTGATGTCCTCTTAAATGTTCCTCAGTCCAGCTGGACTGACTGTCATTTCTTAAGAGGCAGAATAACAATGTCTTTTTGTCTGTCATATTTTTTTTTTATACAGCCCAGGTGTAAACCATTTTTTTAATCTCAGGAAAGGAAATTAACGAGATTTAAGGTAGCAGTGTAGTACAGGCAACTTTGAAACTCTGCTTGCCTACAATTTTTAGTAATGGCACTTAGCAGAAGTAAAAACTAGCTGATTACTTTTAATTATGTAGTTAGACAATGATGAATTCACTAGGCCAAGATACTGAAATGCAAGTGAGAAAATAGTAGCAGATATTTTTAGAAGTTTCCATTTGCAATTTCATGGTTCTTCTCAAAAGTTCCACAATAATCTTCTTCTATGAGAAGAGCGAGAATTTGCAATCATTTGTGAGTAGTACACAGAAAGTGCTTACAAAGTAGTGTAGCAGAGCAACAAAGAAGCTCCCAACTTCCTTCTGAAAAGACTTGAGCATGCTATTGACACAGCCACGTGGTTATTTTGCAGTAATTTTATTTTAGGAATGCTGATAGGCTATGAGACCCTGAGTATACAGTGAAAACGTAATTCACTGCAAAGGTGAGGTGTTGTCAGACTCCTAGCAGGAAAGGTTATGATAGAAATAAGAAAAGGTTTAGAGACTGGTAGCAAACGACAGGACAGTTAGTGGCTAATATGTCATTAAACCCTTCAGCATCATCAAGTATCTTTACATGATTTATCTCAAGTATCTTCTATTAATTGTTTCAAAGTTGCATCATGATTAATGCCCTGAACAGATCAAGTACATCCAAGAGATGAACTGGCTTTCTAGAAAATGCCAAGTGGTACACATAGTAAGTAAAATTCACATAGAGGAAAACTCTGTCCCACTAAAAGAAATAATTGGGAAATAACAAAGAAGTTCAGAAAGAAAAAACCCACCCTCATTTGAGGACATTCAGTTCTACTCTAAGTTACAAAACAGAATTTCTAGAATAGCAGAATATTGATTTTGTTATGCTTAAGTTTATTTTGATAAACTTACAGGGTTGATTTATTTTCACTATCCACAGCTTGAGACAAAGATTCCTTATTCTCAAGAATGTCATGTTTACCAGTCTGCACTAGTTCAACGACTGAATTTGAACAATCAGTGTCAAGTTTTCTTTTTCTGGAAAAAACCCCATGGTTTCTGTCATTCACAGCACTCCTTTCTTTCAGCTCTTGACCAGCATCTCCCAATACTTCAGCTCTGCTCATTAATCTGCCTGAAAGCAAAAGAAAAGGTTGGTTTGCTTTTTGGTTTTTTTTAATGTTTGTTTTCTTACTTTCACACTATCATAGGTCAAACTGACATTAAAAAAATACAAGAACATTACTTGGGAAAGCAAAATTTGAATGCAGTCTGTGATTCTATGATGTCAATAGAGGCTGACATACAAACTGAATTAGACATACAGCCCTCAGTACAGCATGCACAGACTTATGAGGTAAAAAAAAAATCAACAGTCTGAGACAGACTTTGCTCCAGAATGTTTTGATTATTTGTCTGTCACCATTGCATTGCAGAGTTCTTCAAGGTTCTTCTGTCCATTTGATCATGTTGCAAGTTAAGATTATATTGACACACTTCTCCTCCAACCCCATATTTCCGTGTTCTCAAAAAAAATCCAGGGCAGAGGCCACAAGAGAGGGAAAATTATGCTACACATCTTCCACAGGTCACCTTCTGTTACCTGAGTAGGTACAAACAAATGTCCCCTTGTCGATATCATCCAGGCAGCGGACACCCCAGCCTTTCTTTTCAGTGTTGAACACCTGCAACCTGACTTGAATGCCATGCTGTACAACTCTGTTCTGACACATCAACTTGTCGCACCTGCATAACACACTGCACTCGTAAATTCTGTCAAGAGGAAGAAAAACAAAACACAATATAAAACACAATATAAAAGGATGCACTACTAAAACAAAGTTTCTATTATTAATTTCCCTTCTAAGCATCAATAAGGCAGTGGACTGAAAAGATAAAGACTGACTAAAACTGGTTGTGCAGCAGTGCTCTGGAAATCGTGACTTTTTTGATTGCTGATTCATCAATTTTAAGAGTCTGTCAGCTAGATTTTGGTATCAGCAGACAAGAAAAATAAATGCTAAATTTTTGTTTTATAGGAGTAAATCTCACAGAAGCAGAAATCCCTGTGAAGCACCTCATTCTACGCTGGAACAGATTTTAGCAAAGACAACCTATATGCCTGAACCTCAATGCAGTTGTCATGAGTTTAAAGATTTAACGAAGTATATCTAAAAGAACTCACAATTGTGATTTTTTTTTTACATTTGTTTCTGGGTTCCCTGACAGCTTTAATTCTGCACATTAACCATAAACTAACATCGCACAGCAAGAGAGAACTGAAAGGGCTCCTTAAGCCTGTGGGTTAAAGCCCTTGGCTATTGCAGAAAGCTGCTTTGCACGATTCCTCTTCTAAACACTTGAAGTAACTGGCACCTTCTTCAGGCCACATATTAATCCACAGGAGCTGAATAATAGAAAGGGCAAACACTTGAAGCATTGGATGGCTTTGGAGACTCTTGGAAGAGGCACATATAACCAAGTCTGGCAACAGCAGCTGGTCAATGCTTCTTTAGGACTCTGGTCACTCTTTACACTTTTCTTAGACCTTAATCTAAGCTGTGAAAATTGTAGGATCTGCAGTAGAAGAGTTTTTGGGTTTTTTCCTCCTATTACTCAAGTCACATTGATTATTTTTTATCATCCTGATCTGTCAGTAAAATTGTGACAAAAATAGAAGGTTTCAGTTAGCCAAAAACTCCAGTTATCTTAATCCTGTAGCACTTACACTACAGGAGTAAAATAAGAGCATACAAATAAAATAGCAGTTAATAGTTCAGTCTTTCTTACCCACTAGGAACAGGTCCCTCCAGTCTTTTGTAACGGTATCCACGGCATCTTTTACTACCTGAAGATAGAGAAGTTTTACTACAGCCTCTTGCAGTTAGCTGTAGGCATGCACATTTTGACCTAAAAGTAAGAATAAAACTTCTCAGAATGTATTTGGAGCAGCGCAAATCAATCATAAATCTAGGTAAGTTGAAATATACTTAACTATACACACACAAACACACACACATACACACACTTGTATATATACATCTATATTCCCCTTCCCCACTTCTTTTATGCCACAAGGCTGTTTCAGGCACCCTACTTTGTCTCTTGGCTGGTTATGTGCACTTTACAATAAACATGTTCGCTCCACCCCAACCTCATTCTTCCACCAAGCTCCTTAAATGGCACATGCAAACAGCTGAAGTACAACAGAAATTTATTATAAACGGGACGCTATCAAATGTATGAATGAATGAAAATCACCTCTTCTGGTACAGCATTCCAGCCTGTTACTTTGTTACTTTCCTCCCACCTTAGCCCTCAGGAAGTGAAGAATTTCACACTGTGGAGAACTCAAGCAACAGCGCTTGTCTTCACCACCGTATGGCACAACAACTGCAAAGAATCACAGCGATCGTGCAAATCCTGAATCCTAAAACTGCACGTCAAGAGCATTTCAACTCTTGTGGGACTTCACTGCTCAGCTGAAACTAAATCATTTTAATTATTGAAGCTTCTTTATACCAGGCTGTGATTTCAAGGTCTTGTTGGGTCATGGGCAACTATGCTGCACACCAGCACATGCAACTGCCTCAGCTATCAAAAATACAAAATGGATCCAATACCAGGTAACACCTACAGATGGAGATCAGACAAACACCCTTCAAGAAAGCAGACAAAATTATCACCAAACTCTCATACAATAACTGTGGCAGGTTCCCACAGAGTGTCTGTAGCCCAGAGTTACTGAGATCTAGAAAAAGCAATGAACAACACTATTGGAACTGCTCAGACCATAAATGTATTCTGTGACCACAGGCTTTCATAGTTTCTGTTTAGACAAGGGGAAGAAAAGGATGTAGAGGTTGGGAACAGGGTTGTTTCTTCCTCTGCCCTCCCTTCAGGCTGTCCCATCCCACCTCTAGGATACCACAGTAGGAGCTGCAGCAGATATTGTCATGTGGGATCCTTCCCTGCCTGCCAGGAAAAAATTCTTCCTCTGCTGGCACAAGAGTCTCTTTCCTACACCTCTTCCAAAGGCAACAGCCCTGCTTGTCAGCTCCACCTGGAGGAGAAGCACTGCCAGTTTGTGAAGAAAGGGAAAGGAACAAAATAATCCACCTGTTGAACACTTCCTTCACTACAACAGAGGGTGGACCAGGAGGAGCACCCAAGTTCTGGTGAAGAGAAAGACACAGTGGTGTTAGTCAATACCGAACATGGCACAAGACAACTCCCGCAGATATTCCAGCAGCATTGGTCCTGTTTGACACTGTTTGGTACTGTGCACCTTCACACACCACCACACTGCTGTTGTGGCATCGTGTCACTGGACTAGGATTAGATTTTTCTACCTACCTATCAATGCAGCCATCTGTGCAGTCACATGAATCCACAAACAGGCTGGAGAAGTTGTTGAGATAATATCCACGTGGCCATGATGACTTCCGATATTTGAAATAAGGTAACCTTGCGCGGTCAAGATTGTTACAGAAGGAGATGGGCACAGACTCGGCTCCGTTGCTAATATCAAAGTCAAACACAAGGGGTTCGGGATTCATGGTGTTCCTGCCCAACAGTACATATGTGTTGAAGGAAAAGTGATCAACAAATAAGAAATTGCACTTTGTTTCAAACAAATAATTTTGCACATCTCGAAAGCTTCTCAGACTCCGACCGCAAGGAGCTTTGTAATTCACATCCAGTGATTTCGAAAGGCAGTCTGCTTTTGCGTGCCGTCTTTGAAAGTGAAACAGGATTGGCATCTTCAGAGGGTTTTCACCCTTGTAGGAGCCTGCTGCTCTCTTGGCAAGACATGCACTAGAGCACTTGTGGTTCTGATACTGTAGGTTTAAAGGTAAGTGTTGAATTTCGCTAGATGCTTTTTTAGTCCCTGACCATGTTCTTTCCATCTCCTCTTTCTTGTTACTTGGAGTAGAAGAGAAAAAAAAAAAGAAAAAAGAGCAGCATCTTAGACAACCAGAGAAGCATTCAGCTTTTTAGTGGTTCAATATTTTTAGCACAGGAAAGAAACAGCCCATTCCTGGAAGGCCTAGGGTTTCACTGAAACACTGTTTCACATGGTATTACTGTCCTAACTTCATATGAAGATATATTCAGTTGCATTAAAAAAGAAAAAAAAAAAGCAACAGCTTCTTAGCTTCTTCACAGAAAGAACTTACATGCTAAAACACAGAAAGGACATTAAAAAAAAAAAAAAAAAGAGACTAACAACATATTTACCCCCCAATCAGTACCAGAGGCTAAGTACAGAGGGACTAAGTCACATGCCTGACAATATGCAAAGTACAGAAAGCCTGAGAACTGCTGCTTAAGTCCTAACCCTGATAATCCTGGTAATACTCATGAATCTTCATTCACAACCTAATGCCCTATTCTGCAACGTTCTCATGGGTAAATTAGACAAGTCTACTTAAAACCTCACATTTTCCATGTAAGTCAAGTCAAAAACATTTTCACTTTGAAAGCTGGCAGAATTCAAAACTGGGTTTAAAACACTGACTTTAGAAATACAAACTGAGAACTCTCTCAAATGCAGTAAAGAACATGTCAAATAAGGAACTGAAATAAAGATGCTGACCTGTCAGAACCTTCTACAGCATTTGCAGTGTTGTCATCTGCAAGAAGATGCTGCAATTTGGGTTTGGTTTCCTGTACTCCATCTCCATCAAACCCATCACTTACTGAGAAAAGTGAATGCAAGCAAAAATTTCGTCAACTCACATTTCAATCTATAATTGAATTTAGTTACTAAAGAGAAAATTGACAAAATACATTAAAAATAATGCATTGCTATGAAGTACAGCTAACAAAGAGCATGTCAGTAAGTGTCCCACTAAAAAATCTTCCACAGTTTTCAAAGTGACCAGAAACAACACGCACATGAAACACATTTATAGATTTCCCTTCATTATTTGAGATAAAAGAATGCCAAGGTATTTCAGCCAGTGGAGCCATGCACAGAATAACTCTGCTTGCAGACAGCTCAGGTTCATCAGGGCTTACTAGTTCAAACCGGTTCCCTTGGCACAAGTATTATCCACACACACAAACCACAGAAATACAAATCCAGGTGAAAGTTCACAGTCCAGTACCCGAGGAAATTAATAATTATATTTTCCCCACTGTAATGCTAATGGCGTTCTCAGATCTGTTTTATTGATTTCAAAGGAAGGAATTAAACTTCTAGTGAGTAAAACAGGAAAAAAATGAATCCACATACCAAACAAATATAACTGGGATGCACATACCGTTTGTCAAAGTTAAGAGATCACTTAGATTAGCTTCATTCACCAGTGCCCAAGCCTGCCAGCACTCTGTGCAAAAAAACCCAAACCAAAGCAGATACTTAATGTAAGTGAAGTAATGGTAATAGGGAAAACAAGGTGTAAATCCACCAGAGATACTTGTTTCCTCATTAGGCTAATCTAGAGTATTGCAAGACTGATACTATTAGAAACCTTTTGCACCACAGACCTTAACAGACACATTTAAGAACTGCAATAAAACTACAGCTCACAGTAGTAGTTGTAAATTAACAGTGAATATCCCTTGGCTTTTGGAAAGCTGTGGGAATACTTCCAAACACACACAAACTGGTGGCCTACAGTAGCAGTAATACACAAAAAGACAACTTAGTGTGAGTTTCTCTCTTTACTCTGTCATCAGTCTAGTTATCTTCGAGCTAAGAAGAGCCACGCTTTGTCTGAAAAAGTGTATCGGCAAAACAAGAAAACAGCAAAATGCACCTGAGATCGTCTTTTTTTAAAATGAAGAGACTTTTTAAAAATGCTTAAAACCACCAACTACTAAGTAATTTAAATTCAGAGATATCTGAATTATGTCAGATATCTCAAAGACCTACACAAAGCAGGCCACAGCTCCTCTGCAGTCCAGCTCAACAGCTACAAGGATTTCAAACCTTGGTTTGTGGCAGTTCCATTCTTGATCTTTTCCTTTAGCAACAGCAGCACATTTTGCACCTGCTCAAATATGACATCCACTCTTCTACTTCCCAATTGAGTCCAAAACGTTTTCAAATCACCTGAAATGCAAACTCCTGTTTACAAGTCTGTACAGCTCCCGAGAAGTCTAGAAATACATTGTAACTTCTAGTGGACTATTCAAAGGCTCCCGCTCATTTCATTTGGAGGCACTTCTCAAAGACCAGTCAGGACAGCAGAACAGCTTAAACCTTCAGAAATCTATTCCTAAAGCTAATCAAGAAAGTGAAACAGAAGTCAAGTGACGAACTGGAGTGGGTTCTGATGGTCCATGATGCTCCTTCAAGCAACCTTTGAAGCATGTCACAAAGGGTGCTGTGGAAGCCTTTCTTCAAATACCAGAAAATGAGTCCCACTATAAACAAATCACCACTGAAACTCACAGGAGTGGCAAAGGAGAATATTTTCAACTCAGTGAACTGCATATATTATTCAACAAAAGACATTCAGAATTTTTTTTTTTATTGCTGTAACCTCTCTGACTATCCTGTCCCATCAATAGTTTTGGTATGTTTTCTAGAGAAAAAAAATATTCACAATATTTTCAGATAAAAGCAGTTTGGTAAATTTTGTTCACCAAGTGATATCAGTTGAAATAATTAATATACCCCATATGTCATGCCTCCTTCCTCCACTAGAAATAGTTATAAAGAACATTTTGTTTAAAGAAATTCAAGCTACTGGTTCAGAACATACCTTCTCTTCCAAAGGTATTTTTTTTGAGGTACTAAGCCCATTCATGAAAGCTTTTGTTAAAACATGAGCAGTACATCTTTCTCAAGGAAAAGGAAATAGGGTTCAGTGTGTCAACAGATGATGCCTGAAAAAAGAACAAGCTCTTTCTCATGGTTAATGTTCCTCTTCTTCAATGACCAAGCACAAAAGAATAAGCAAATCCTACTCCATTTCTAGAGGTAGAGTCCACTGTCAGACTAGGTTTACATTCCACTTTCAGACAGCAAATCTCAGTTGGCAAATGTGCTGGGGTGACAGCTCCCCAGCAGCCAAGAAATACTGCATTCTTGTAAGTCTTGTAAAAAAGTATTTCCTTCATTTTTGACTTACTAGAGAATGACTTCTGTTGCCCAAGGCACCAGAAGCAAAGACATTCTACTGCAGTACAGAGTGTATGGTTACTCTCAAAAGCATCATGACAGCAGTGAAGGGAGTAACAATCTTTTGTCACCACAACCCCATCTGCTTATGACACCAGCAGCTAAAAGTGTAATATTTAATATAAACAGGCAATGTTGAAAGTATTTCATCTTGTGAAAGAACTGATTTAGCACTAACTCTCAACATAATTTAATGATCTCTTATATTCACAGAATTTTTAAAAAAAATGTGAAAAGGTTAAAGTCCCATTACCAAAAAAGCCACAACAATTTTTGGAAGCCTACATTAGTGGTCCAAGAGACAATGCCTGCCCTGTGCCATTCCCATCCTTTGGCTGTGCATGACAGTATCACAAATTTAAAATACTGAGAAGTAAGTATATTTCATATTTGTGTTTCAAAATACATATTCAGGAATAGATCAAAACTGCTGTCCTCATTCATTACTGGTTTTCAGACACTTCAATACATTTACTAAATTCGGATGATTTTTTGGATTGGTGGATGTATTACTTCAGAGGACGGGTGACAAAACACAGTTTTTTGTTTCTGGGCCCTCAGCTATAATCATGCATAGGCCAAAGAGAAATAAAACATATGCTACTATGTGTAGTGCTCACTCACCTTAGAAATGCTTCCCCAGTTCTCATGCTGGAGTGTCCTGAAACTCTAGCAGCAAAAACTTTGTTTTGCACAGAGAAGCAAAGAACGCATATGAAGTTCACAGTACAATTTTCATTTCAAAAAAGACAGATGTCCACATCACTAATCTCTCCAATGTTAATGGTGCTACTGTCAACCCCAGACAGGAGGATAGGGAATGAACAGACATAGGAAGCAATTACCTTGTCAGCTTTCAGAATCATCTCACCAGCTGATGACTCAAGGTGTGGAATGGCATCTGGTGGCAATAGTTCTAAAACTGGCTGGAGGGATTTTCTTTTCCCTCTATAGAATCCTTGTGGCCACATATCACTTTTTTTTTCCAGCATTGTGCAGGGCAATGATGCTAGAGCAAGAAACAAGCAGCCAAGGTCAGGGCTGCTTATTCCAGCCACTAGAAAAACAACTCGTGTGCGTGTTTCCTGCAGTGCTGCTGACTAACATCTTAAACCATAAAAGGCAAAGCTATTGTCTTTCAGTGATCATTTTCACATCAGAAGCGGTGCCAAATATACACTACCTTCCCCTTCCCCTCCATAAATCCAAATTATACTACCTTTAATGCTCTCCTCCCTGGAACTGGTAAGGTTCTCCTCTTCAAAGAAGTCGGGCAGCACTACAAGTGGTGCAGAATGTACAAGTAAGAGATTGTGTGAGCAACCAAAATGGTTGTAGCTACTCAGCTTTTCAAAATTTATGCAAGTAAATACTACAGTGGGTATCAGCAGGAGCACTGTGTGGTGCTGTGGTGAAACAGCACTGTGGTGAAACAGTCATCCTCCTTTCAAATATCATCCCACACCTTGTCAAGACACAGTTGAGGAACACACAAATGAAACAAGCTGCATAAGGAAGCTTTTTTACGTAGTCATTTCTTACTATCCCTCAGTCATGAAGCTGTCACAGATGGCCCATACATTCCAGCACATTCAGGTGAGCCTACACAATCCCCACTGTCTATTAGCTCACAGTTCTTTTTTCTTTTTAAATTTGTGCTGTCAGTACTACAACTAAACTAATTTATTTAGGGAAAAGAAAAAAGGAAAGCTTCTTTTAGGTAAATATATTACTGAATCTGTTTCTTGGCAGAAGCAAGATGAAGCAAGGTATCTACACTGTAACAACAGTAAGGAGAAGCAAGGCAGCGCTCTTCAACCACATTGAAGATTCCGAATTTCTATCATCATGAATTACAGAATCAATTAGGTTGGAAAAGACCTCTGAGATCATCGAGTCCAACCTGTGACCGAACACCACGTGTTAACCAGACCATGGCACTGAGTGTGGCGTCCAGTCTTTCCTTAAACACCTCCAGGGACGGTGACTCCAACATCTCCCTGGGCAGCCCATTCCATTCCATTTATGTTGGCTACTTAATCTTTTCTATGCTAAAATTGAAAAAACACTGGAACAGATACTTCCTCTGGCTGAATGGGAAAATACCTTAAGGGAAGACTGTTGGCTTCTAGAACTGTTTCTCACAAGACCAATGACTGCTCAAAACATACACCTATTTATTTTTAAGGCTTACTTCTTTTCTCTTCCATCCTCCAGGGAGGCCGCTCGGAGCGCTGTCACTCGCGCCGGGGCAGTGCCAAGCCCAGCTCAAGTCGGGGCGCGCCGCGTGGGTCTCGCTGCGCTCCGGCACGGCCGCGGGCAGGGGCCGAGATGCCTGTCGGACGGGGAGCTGGCATGGGGTGAGCCTGCGGTCAGGGGCCGAGGCCCGGGTCACTCCCGCAGCCCTCAGGGCCTCGCCGCGGCCCCCGGCACTCCTGCTCCTCCTCCTCCGGCACCTGCGCCGCCGCCCGCCAGGGGGCGCAACCCCGCCGGGGCGCGCGAGCCGGCGGATCAGGGCAGGCCCCCGCGCGTGGGGATAAACCTGCGCGCACCGCCGCTGTCTCTGCTACTACTGGCTGCGGCGGCGGGAGGGGCGGCGGCGGTGGCCAATGAGAAGAGGGGGCGGGGCCGCGCACCCGCGCAGAAGCGGCGGAGGCGGGGGGGCAGAGCGAGGGAGTGGAGGTGCGTCCGCCATCTTGGAGGGGGCGGGTCGAGGGGGGGGGCGGGTCGTCCCCGGGGCGGTGTGGGGGCGCCGTCGCCATGTCGGGGCAGGGGGGAGTGAAGGCGGGATAGGTTGGGGGGCGTGCTGGTGTGGTCCCGCCAGGGTCGAGCTGCGGCGTCTTCATAAATGTGTCATAAATGAAAACGTATGATAACGAGTGAGCGAGTTGCGTAACTTAACTGCTGGCCGCTGCCTTTCGCCCTAGCTGGCTGTGGCGCTGCCCTATGAAGTGCTAAATTGTCGCTGCCCTTTTCGATTCAAAGTGTGAAAATAAAGGTTTGTGTCGCCCTTTAAAATTTTAAGGAGCGCTGCCTTTGCAAGTGTTGGCATTGTGGCTATGTAAAGGGGTTTTTCAGAGGGGCTAAAAAATAACCCGCCCTTAAAAGGCAGTGAGGGTGGTTTGTCAACCCTTTTTTGTCGCTTCTTTTTTTTTGGCCACCACTTTAAACTGTATATATGAACATAATACGCTCAAATAATTGTTAAAGGATCTCTAATCTCGTGGATATTACTAAAATATTGGGGAGAGAGCACGATAGAAATTTAATTTTTCTTTGGGGAGAATGCTGTATTTACATGACTTGAAGCTCTGGTCTGACCCAGGATCCTCCTGAAGATTTTGATGTTCAGCATCTGCTTTGGACTTCTATAAAACCTTTTAAATGTTTACACAGGCATGCCTACATCTGTGCCTGTGCCTGAAGTTCAGCTCCACAGAAAGGAATGGGACAACTCACAATAACATTGCTGGGAACAGGGTGGCTCAGTGTCACTGATGTGCTGACAAATCTCTCAATAAAAATAGTAGTTTACATCTTAAAAAAGAGATTTCTCCCTTGTAATTATTTATTTTAAAATTAAGCACAAGCTTTTCTCGCTCTTGGAATATTCTGCATTATGAGATGATGCTTGCAGATTAATTAAATTATTAATATATGTGTTTGTGAATACTGAGTGTTTGGAAACACTTAGGGCTTTACAAGTTGTACATGAGGAATATGCCAAATACAGAAAAGATGGAGCCCAGTGATGAGAAGAAGCTGAAAGAACATGACTACCTGCCTTGACCAAAAGAGAAATTATGAATATATTAGAAAGTAGTAATGTATTTTGCTTGTTATTTGAAGCAAAAAAAGGGAAATATGTCTTTCTTAACACAAAATTAATGAGGCAGTTTTGAAACATACCCGAGTTTCCTTTGTTTTGCTTTTATCCTGGAACTGTAACATAGGCTTTCTGCAACACAACAACAAATTCTGCCTGTAAGCCAGTAAGCTCAGTTCTTCCCAAACTTGTTAGGTGGCAGAAGCTCACAAGTGATGCTGATCTGACATCCCAGCAACCTGCCTGCAGCACTCCTCCAACAGCAGTGTGAGCTTCCTGGGGCTCTGCAGTCTAGACCTGGACTGACTACCTGCACCCCAAGGTGAGAGCAGCGGTCTCACGTGCTTACACATTCGCTAGCACCTTTTGTTAGGGTGACAACGAAAGGACTGACTGTCCTGGTGAATGGTGCTGTTGTCTGAGTTGCTGAATTATGCTTTTGTTACGTAGTTCTGTAGAGACTTCTGATGAACGATTTCATTTCATAGACAGGCAGACCACAAACAGCTCCTTTGAGTGGGAGGAGGTGAAGCTGGTCCAAAAGGAACTGTCTCATCTAGTTCTCTTCTCCGGGGATGTTTTTGTCGGCTTGAATGCCGTAGGGATCTGGGTGTTTCCTCCTATGACCAGATAGACTTGGGTGAAGTAGAGACACCAGTCAGACTCCAGAAAACACAAAGCAGTCAAAGCCATAGACTTTGGAAAGCCATGGGCATTTGGAAAATGCTTTTTAACTCTCATATAGCTTTTTTTTCCTTTTCTGATGGGCTTGGTTCTTCGTTTTATAGACTCTTTTCTTCTTGAAGTATCTTCATCAGTTGAGTACTTTCGCCAGCTCCTTCTCTGTCACTTTCTCCATTATGCTTCTTGGTGTTTTAACTTGCTCCTTTATAGATGAGTGTCTGCACTTCAGTCTTTCAAAATGCAACTTTAACATAATGTTCTCTTTTATTACATTGATTAGTTTGAGCGTGGTTTATATGTAGTCTCTTTTTTTTCACACATCTTGAGTAAGATGACAGAAGAGAGAACAGGCATTTCTATACAGATCACAGATCATTGCTACTTTACAAATTCATTGCCAACAAAATGTTTTTAGGGAGGCAACCTTTGGTTTAGGTTAGAAATTTTGCTGTAACCCATAATTATTTATGAGGACACGGGCTAATATTCCCCATAGGTACGTTGCTCACTAATTGGACTCAGACTATTTACAGGCCCTCAGCATGTTTTGTTACTATGTTTTGTAGTTCTTTTGCTATTGTAGATATGTTAGAAGGTTATTTGGATATTAATTTTTTCCAGGTATTAAATGAAAAAAGGGGAGGTTATGGGTCTCTGAGAAGCCTGTAAAATGATTTTGTTCTACCTGTGACGTAAGCATGTTTGCATTCTTGGCAAGTAAAAATCTAACAAGTTGTCTATTTGAGAAGTGAGCTTCTAAAAGCATAGGCTGTTATAGTCCTAAGGGAATCTTAAAACACAGGCAGAGACTGGCTATGAAAAGGAAAGGAAAAATTTGTGTCACTGTTTTAACAATAGACTTCTTTCATGTGGAGGACCTAGATGTCTGTTAATTGCTAACTGGCTTGAGGGTTTTGGATTCTGGCCCAATATGCTGAAATTCTTAACCATCCGCTGGCTGGCATATTCTTTAAGGACTGTATTTGGAAACTGATAATGTAATGGATTTCATCTTTATAGGCTGTTTATGTAGTAGAAACGTTTTCATTTTTAGCTATGTTTCTGTCTTACAGTCTCGGTATTCATTGCCGGCATACATTCCAGATAGTTGTGTGAGCACAGAAAGCAAGAGCTGGTTTGGAGGTTAGATAATGTTGGCCCAGGTTGAGCAGCATGTGTTGTCTTTGCTGTGCCACAGCCCCACCACAATGATCAAAACGTAAAAGTCTGCCCTCTAATTTTGGGTGACTTGGATGAATTAACAAGACCTGAAAGCCTGTGATTACTATTGCACTTGAAAGAGTCTAAAATCTCTGGAAACAAGGCAGTAGATGTATATGATGAAAGGAATCCAAAATAAATGGAAGCCTAAAAACCTTTTTATCATCCTTTTTCCATGTGAACATGGTCGTATATTTGTCTGAAATAAATTTTCACTGGTATTTTCTGAAGTAAATCTAGTAGTTGTAAATTATTCCAACCCTTTTGATGAGTTCTGTTTGTGGGTTTCCATGCAGATTAAAGTATGTGCACCAAGTATTTTCATTAAATGAAGATGTAGTAGACAAAAATCTCTAAGCAATCTGCATGATTGAATGAATCTGTGGTGTTCCCACTCTTAAGAGATGTTCTGTGGAGACCTTCACAACTCCCTTTCGCTTTGCCTTTTAGTTTTTAAATCCAACTGCGGAGGAAGTTGTCCTTGTGGTGCCAGCTGATGGAAGGTTGATCAATTTAGTGCTGATCTTGGTAGCAGCTGTGCAAAGGTCAGGGAGGCAGTACCTGGCATAGAATTGGACTTGAACTAATAAAAGCCAACAAAAAAGCAGCACATGGCAACAACCTGAAGTAATTATTATGTGTAAATGAAATAACCACATTCAAATAAAACTGAAACCTGTAAGGTTTCAAATATACTAAGAGAAATTTGACTAAAACCCTATAAAAGTGGGTGAATACATGTTGCGGTGAAGAGGCTCAACAATAGGGCTCTTAATAAGTATATTCTGGACTAAATAGTCCTTAGTTGCAACTTCCTGTTGGAAAAATAATTTAGTTGAAGAAACCCCTAATTTTTTAGTTACAGTTTTCTCTGATCCAGTTCGGTGTGCTGCATTAGCCCTTGGTTTGGCCTAACTTAGTAAAGGTGTGGAACTGACAGTAAGGTGTGAAGAACCTGCTTCTCCTTACTGTAAGGAGAAGCAAGAATGGGAAGCAGTATTGTCTTATTAATATGTATTGCATTTGGTTTTGTTTTTAAGCATTATGATGGGTCAGGGAAGACACAGTCCCCTGAACATTTAAAACTGGCAAAGAAGGGAACAGTTTGGATATTCTATGCTTCTCAGCCCCTCCCTGTTCATTTATGCCATTGCTTTGGGGAGTGGTTTGGTTTAAAAAAAATTACTTATTTGGCTCAGATAATTTTATCTGAATAACGTTTTCCATCTAATTTGCTGTGCAGCCACTTGGTATTTCTGCTTCTCTCAGGGAATTGGGGGTGGCCTGGGTACAAAATGAGCATCTGGAGATAATGGATTGCTTTCTAATTTAATTGTTGGTGTCATTTCTCCAAGTTTAAAGTGTTTGTGCAACTACTTCTTTAGTATGAACAAAGTGGTGGTATGGGCAGAACACTTAACTGTGTCTGGGTTATTGTGGATGGTCTTATCACACAGCAGAGCCTGAACCTCTCTGCATTCTCAGTTATGCTGGACCAAAATCCCCTCCTGCTTTTTTACAGAGAGGGGAGATTAATGGGTTTCTTTCATGAGCGTCTGCCTTTAACTTTGTTGTTACTTTTTTCCCCTGTAAAATTCTTGAACCAAAGAACCTGTGGAACCAAAAAGCTGTGTTGAATACATCTGTGACAACCTTTCACGAAGTGAACTGTGGATTCAAACCTTTGCAACTCTTTTTTCTTAAGAACCCCCCCTTTTCTTAAAAAATGTTACTCGAGTGACTCCAGTGTACATATGGCATTCCTCTCACAGAAATAGATACATATGCTATCTGTTACAAAGTAATACCAAACCAATTTAGATTACATACAGACTAACATAAAGTTTTATTAAGATTAAATGCTGCTAGACACATAAATTTAATGTGCATTAAAAAAAAAAAGTCCACCAAATACTGCTCTTTATCTTATTTAAGTGTACGGAATGGGTTTCCGTCAAGTTTGTGATGAACAAGTTACGTGAGATGTTGTTTGGTAGCATAAATTTCTTTCACTTGAAGGATCATTTTTAAGAATGAATTAATTTTGTTAACAAATTCACAGCAAAGTGCTACAATCCTTGCATTAGCAGATCGAGATGGGTCGTTCCAACCTGGCTATGGGGGATCAGGAAGTAGGGACAGGACTTCCGTTTTTTTAACTGGTTTTGCTGCCACATGTTATAGAAATATTTTGAAATTGCATCCCCCCTCCTCCAAGAAAATGTTCATGGATGGATGGAGCTTTTCCTTTCTTTTGTTCTTTTATTATTGTAGTCCATATTGTCCATTTTAGAAATGACTGATACAGGTAGTTCCAAAAATTCACACAATTTACGTTTGGTAAGTCCCTCCACACTTCCTATCACTTCTCCAAAAGCTGCATTTTTAGGGGAAGTAAGAGGAGTTTGTTTTTTTCTGGCTGTAAATTTTCATGGTACCCAGCAGGCTGATCTGCCTCCCTCTGCAGTCATGTCATTCCTAGAACTAATGCAGGGAAGCTGATGGCAGTAAAGGCTGGAATTCCGGTTTTGACAGCAGTGTGTTCCTTGAGCAACTTTATCAACCGTGAAACAACATCTTTAAATTATTTTACAGCATGAGTTTAAAAGAACCCCACTTCTGATATCTCAGTAGTGTTTGTGCCTTGTGTTTCCTGTTGCAAGAGACAATAATTAAGAAGAAAGTACTGCTGCATAACTGGATTTTGGAATGTGGGGGCAGTTGTGTGACAGCTATCAGATTGGATGATCTTTATTAAAGACCCCATGTCAGTCTAGCACAAAGGCACTTGTACAAATTTATACATGCAAATTTATTGCAGAAAAAATACAATTTACTTGCATTTAAGTGTGGGAAGGAAGTTGTATGGGGCTTTTTAAAGAAAGGCATTGGAGATTGCTGAATAGGGAGAGTTTAAAATTATGTGGGAAGAGTTCACTTCCAGCATCTGTAGTGTCCTGAGCATTCAGCTCTTTGTTTTGCCTATTTTGGTATGTCAGCAGGGAGGCGCAGCTGTATCAGCTTTCCCTCTTCAAGTGTACCTTTCAATTGTGTACTCTCGCTTTCTGCAGTTCACTGGCAGTCAGACAGCTCTCTTCCTCTTCTTCAAATAAGCAAAACTTATTTTGGACTACCAATTCATGGTGGTCATTGCTTTTGGCAATGGTGGTCATTCACTACCTGTTGCTTTTGGCTGCAAGAGAAGCTGTCTGCAATATATGATTTATTTGTTGTTAGAAGTAAGACCCCACATTGAACTTTATAGGGTAATTGCAGGACTGCAGGGTGGTTGTAGCTCCCTGTTAAGGCAAATATTGTGTATATCACATAATCCCTGGGAAAAGTTTGTGGGTTTGTTTTGGGATTTTTTAACTTTTTTTTTCTGACAAATTGGTTTAAGCAAATGAACTAAGTAAG